AAGTTCTATGAGAACAATCGAAAATCGAAAAAAAATTAAATCGATTTTGATCAACGCATATCTAGTAAATTGTCAAACTTATCTATCTTCAATAGACACAGTATAAAACAGTAGGTACTTACTTTATCAACGCCTTTTTCACATTTATAACATCTATATAAATATATGAATATGTATCAAACATTATTAACTATGTTTTGGAAAGAACAATAAACGTTTACGGAGATCCCTTCATCAATCAAGTCCGCGCCTTAATTAACTTTCTTCCAGTCAGTCACATCGCTGCTACGAACAGCTGAAATGCCACGTAACTGAAAGGAAATTAATTGACTAATAAGTTACGGATGCTCGATCATATATAAAAGAGTAACAGAACGTATTGACAGAAATAATATTTTATACATGTATGCCAACAAAAAATCATATTTTACTTCAATGTTACGTTCTTAACCAACATAACCTAACTTTTTTATGTCCCTAAGCAGAATGTTCTTAAAAAGGTAAAGCAATTTATTTGAAAACATATATACTTACATTTACTAAGCTATCACAAGCGAACTGACATATTTCTGAATAAACTGATCGCCGCCATTGTTTATTAAAGAGTTTTTACGCAAATCTGTCAGTTCATGTTGACGTCTGGCGAAAATACTCAATGGATACGGTTGTTCTATTGACTTTGTTAAACAGATGTTGGAATGGATGGCCGCACACTTGGTTTCCTGACTAGTATAGGGACCATACCTCTCTTGCAGATGGTTATGGTGCGTTATTATTATATTATAATTATAGTGAGAACTCTAAAGTTTAAAGTCAAAGTATTGTACTAGTACGAACGGTACATTATAATACATAGTTATTTGAAAATAAATTTTAATTAAAAACAAGATTGATCGCATTGGTCAAGTCAACATCTTTTTGATATGGGTAGGCAATCTCGCGGGACGTTGAATGTTCGAAATATATTATTTTGTATTTGCGAGAAAAGACGAATCTTAATGCTAATATTGATAAACACTTTTTACTGCAGTTTTACCAAGAATAAAGAAACCTACTTCGACTTAATATACTCAAAATTATTGTTTTTTTGTTTAGCAATTTTGTGCAAAATTGAAATTTACATAACCGATAACGATCAATCAAGTAAAATGTGTACGAACTATGATGGAATTGTAACCTAATGGCGTGCTTTGTGCATCAATTATAAATACGTTGACGTAACAAATATATATTTACTTCTAAAAAGGATAAATAAGAACAATGATAGTAGCTTAAATGGAAAGAACTATTCGACTATGTGGAATAAATTCATTCCCTCAAAATGTAAATTTTCTGTTGCTTTAATGGTATTTTTATGTTAATTTAAGTCATAAACTAAAAACCACCCCCGAGCTATATTTTAAATTGCAACTATCTGTTGTTATTTATTTGGTACATGCTATCATTTTAAAGAATAATAAGGGACGGCTAAACACTCACGTATATTCGTCCGGTGGCGGCACCGACTAGTTTCGAGCCTATCGAGGGCCCTTCATCAGGATGAGTGGTACTGGTATTATTCCGCGAAATAATACCAGTACCACTCATCCTGATGAAGGGCCCTGACGATTATTCCGCGAAATAATACCAGTACCACTCATCCTGATGAAGGGCCCCCGATGGGCTCGAAACTAGTCGGTGCCGCCACCGGACGAGTACACGTGAGTGTTTAGCCGTGTTTATATATCAGTTTAGTATAATGTCTCACGAAAGTTTGAATAATTTAATAATAATCGATGTTCTGAACAATGTTGTAACACTATAAATAGAATAAAAATAAAAATATCTATGAAGTATAGAATTTTTTTAAATATCAAGGTCATCCGCCCTCGATCGAACTCATTAAGTATGTTCATAGAACGAAACGATGAACTAAATTCTCTCATAGCAATCCCGGATCAATTGTAAGTTGGTGTTAGCTCTTAGTGCTGACGTATTCTGGAGCAGTTTTAATGAGTCTCTATAAGTTTCAATTCAACTTACGAAAGCTATTGCGGCTTATAGCTCTCAACAATTAACACGTTCTGCTATATCTTTGAAAAGGAAGTTTCTATTTTATTATTCAATTGTTATTAATCTCTGGTTGGTAAAATGTTTTATTAGAATTCTTGTTGTAACCTAATTTGTTCTGGTCGCATAAAATCGACATTCACGCTCATTGTATGATACTACGAGCTGGAGTTCGCGATTCCGTCCGCGCGGATTTAAAAAATATATAATTAGTAGCCTTTGTGTTCTTCCAGGTTCTACATCACATTCATGTAGCCATTCTGGAGATAATAAACATCTATTCATCCATCCAAACATTCGCATTTATAATATTAATAGGATAAATTTAAAGATAACATTGAAATATTTAATCAAGTACTATAATTTATAAGTGTTTGTTATTTTTTTTTCTACCGGGTCTTTATATGTCACATCTGGGACCTGAATATCATTAGGCAACGTGGATAATGGCTATCACTGGCTAATGAAAACAATTCAAAGATATTGGAAGACAATAGTTATTGATAGTAATTGTTTATTAAATCTAGAATATGTACAGAAAGCTGTAATTACGCGCCAAATTGCTGATAAAGTTTAATACAAAGTACCCCTCCCCGCCATACCCCGCTAGCCCGCGATACTATCCAAGGGTGCGTGACGTGGTGCCGTTATACCTGAACTGTGTTTAACTGCCGTAATTAGAGGCTATAATAAAAATATTTTTTAAAAAAAGAACGTGCATATTTTTTAAAACATAAAATTCCATTAAATTGCCAATACCGTAGTGTATAACGAGCAATAACATAGATTTCATAGCTGCGAGGTTTCACTGCAATTTTTTTTTGTAAATATCTCATCTTTGTCATTATCTGAAAAGCGAAAAATCCGTAGTAGAAACCCAATGGTAAAAACTAAAGACACCTTTGCTTCAAAATATGAATACACATTTCTGCGAAAAAATTACAATCCCAATTCCGTCGTGCAAATACATAAATATATTTGGTAATAATTAGGGTATTTTTATTACTGACATATCGTAAACATGGCGCTTGTGAATTTCCGATCGTAAATTACTGGCTGTAGCTGGAGAGTCGGAACCATGTTCCCCACATCGCCCCCTATAATATTCTCTGTTTGAATTATACAGTGCGGACACGTTCATACAACTTTCAACTTTCAACTTTATGATGTACTACGTTAGAGCACTATTTAATTTTCATGTTAATTCATAAAAAAATTATAAACCACGTAAAATATTATCATTAAATATCACACCTATTATAGTAATATGAATCGAGTTTATAACTGTTAAATACGACGATGGTTTCGTGTCACAAAATCAGCAGTTGACTATGTTTATCTATTGTAAAATTACATAAAAAAATTATGTATTTTTTTTCTTTTTTTGAAAAAAGAAAAAAAGTTACTTCCGCACACATTTGCACAAGCTAATTTCCAGTCAAAGTCCCGAAAAAATCGGTCCAGTCGTTGCGTAGATCACCTTGGACAAACGCCGTCTTGCAGACAAACAAGCAAACAAAAAAATCAAAAATTGTTTTTTTGTTAAATTAGAAATAGATTTAGCCAGATATTTTAAACATGGTCCTATCATATACCTTTATAAATAAAATACGTCCACTTGGATGCATTGGCTATAGGTATTTTATCCTAGCCATTCGTCCTTGTCACACAAATAGGTATTTTTGCGAACAGCCGCTTCCCAAGAGATTGCTTACCCACATCAAAAAGACAGCGTCGACTTAACCAATGCGATCAATCAAATTTTTATGTATTACTATTTCCTAAGTACTTAACTTACTAAACACATAATATCCAAGTTTCGACTCCCAATTAAGTTAAATGTGTTTTAAGTATAACAAGTTGCTACTACTTTCTGTAATAGCTAAAATTCAGGCTAATTATTATCTAACCTTCTGTTTTCGTATAGGTACAGATAAAATATCTAATTAAAAAAAAAAAAATCTAACTTTGTAAAGTCATTAATAGAAACGCCAATATAATCCACACTGCTTCGTAAACCGTTATCGTAAAGTCGAAAGCAGTTTTAGATATTCAACGTTACTTAAGTTTATTGAAAACTTTATTTAATCCTAAAATGAACAAGTGACATTAAAGACGCTACGAATATGATAAATCGAAGATAAAACCAAACTCAAAGTCTGGGGGCGGTTTCGAAACGAACTCGAAACTCAAACTCGAAGATAAGAACTTCAAAGTTTTCTTGTTACCCTTCCTTTATTGCGCTATTAACTAAAGCTTCAACGCGAGTTTCGTACTATTTTATTATTTCCAAAGTTTGCATTTATTTCTCTTGATATCTCCAAACAATCAGTATAAAGGTTATGAAAACTTCGCCATAAGAAATAATATCTTTACGAATTGTTCGAAAAGTTTTCCAAGAATTGAAACAATAAAGTCGGTAAAAACTGAATTAAGAGAACGATATACATAGTTAATAATCTTCCGCGAGCGTTCTACCTAACATCTTTATAACGTAACTAAACTATTTAGTATAGTAAAAAGTTTGGTAACTGAAGAGTTTGGTAAAAAAAACATTCATTTGATCTGTCATAACAATCAAATTTTATTGCAGATCTTGATAACTGTAAGAAACACTAAAGTAGACAAAGTCGTCAAATAATTATTGTATACCAAGTACATACTGAAACAAAAACATTTTCAGTAAAACCTGCATAAAAACTTAAGTTAAACCTAAGGAAGTATTAAGATGTATTTAATTTTCTTCATCTCTGATCGTCTCACGAAAAAAAAAACAGAAAGATCGTTAATTTTTCAAAATATCATAAGTCATTTTCCTGTTGGTTGATTGTAACAATTCGTAACTATTCGCAATAAATTATGGTTAGCAACTCAAATCTTTCTACTAGAGATAGGCCATTGCTATTGTTAATGTGCACAACCTTTTTTGTTTTGATATTGTATAGCTGTCATCTCTTGTCATCTAAAAATACAGTCTTAGTCGTAAAAATAATATCTTTTCTTCACCAATTTGCCTTTTCATCCATCCATAGCCATAAAGTCACTGCACGCTATCGAAGAATCAATATGATTCAAAGTTCAGATTTTTGCTTTGGTGGTGGTGTAGGCGGTGCAGAAGGAGATTTATAATATTTGTCATAAATTTCATCCCAAAACAGAACACGTTGCTGTAGTAGTGGTCCGCGCAGTCTCATGAACTTGTCAATGCGCATGTGAGGACCTCCGTTAGCTTTAGCAGGCGGCCAGTTCGGTAGATCAGAGTCCTCTGGTATGGGTTTCCTGAAAAATACAAACAATCTAAATATTTCAACTGTAAATATCGTAGTTATTATTTTTTATGTAAATGGATTTTGCTTATTTCGTGTTTACGTTCATAACTTACCCAGTTGTTATAAAATTAGCCCACATTTTTCTCATGATTTGTTTCATACCCTTAAAATCTTTAGTAAGGTTTTCCTCAGAAGGTTCTTGCAACGAGCCGTCGAAAATTCCAGCACTCTGGGCGCAGTGATCGGCGCCGCGTAATTCCGTGAGCGGTATGTAAGGCATTGTGTCGTCAACAAAGTCATATTGGTATAAGTAAATGTTATTGTTGCCAGATTCCACTTGCAACCTCACTGATCTTACAGTACCGTAAGCGAAAAAAACATCGGTATAATAATCAATATATCTAAATATGGTTTCGTCATTAATCGGTTCTCGTCCGAAATAAAACCTTTTTACTTTTTCTGCCACATTTTTTCTTTCCGCTTCAGTTTCAAAGTGTAAATCGCCAGGTAGGTAATCTGCAAAGTTCACATTCATATCATCTTTCCACATGTCATATAAAGCTATTCTGATCAATCCTTCCATTTCTGCAAATCCATAAAGCATGGGTACCTTATGTTGTCGTCCATTCTTTAATATATTATAAGGAGAGTCATCAAGGAACATCTCTTCGCCTACATCGCGTTCTACACAAGGTGTGAAAATGAAAGTCGAGTCCTTTTCAAATAGAACATTGCCGGAATGCAAAACCTCATTAGAAATCGTTTTATAAAATTCTTCAAGAATATAAATATCGTCAACATTTCCGGTAAAGTTTAGCATCTTTGCGTATCTTTTAGCATTTTCCAATGGATTTCCTTGAACACTAAACGCTGCAAGATTAGGTCCACTCTCAGGTATTACTTTGTTGAATAAACCTTTAGTTGTCGGTGAAAGCATGAGAAGATCTACTGCCGATGCTCCAGCACTGGCTCCATTAATGGTTACATCTTTAGGATTTCCACCAAAGTTAGCAATATTCCTCTGAATCCAGCGAAGTAAAGCTACCTGATCTTTCATACCGGCGTTACCCGGTGCGTCCGGCGTGCCTAGACATAGAAAACCGTGAGGTCCTAAACGATAATTAAAATTGACAATTATCATTGGTTTCTCCTTCATCAAATTTTTCACTGTCGCAAAATCGCCGTACCCAATTTGATATCCACCTCCGTGGACTTGGGCTACAACTGGTAAGTTATCTTGCTTTGTACCAGGTACATAAATATTTGCAACCAAACAATCCTCGACTTGACTTCCATTTTGATGTACCATGTAAACATTACTCATTTGCGGGCAAATAATATTTCTGTTAACTGCTTCAAATGGCTCTGACCAAGTAGGAGCAGGAAGTGGTGCCTGTAATAATCAAAAGTACGTTTTATTTCTCGAACTAATTACAGTAATACTTTTTGTTGTTGATTTAAGCTGCTTTGCAATAAGATTTTTTAACCAATAGCTTAGCAATTTATAGCAGTTTTCATTTAGTACCACTCTGTTTTCGAAATCTATTTATATGTTCTGCGTGCAAAGGTTAACCATTCGGACGATGATGAAATGGTATATATTATTATAATATTTGCTCCAACATATAAAAATATATTTACAAATTAATTTCAATGTATACGTTATGTGTAACTCACAACACTCGTTATCTAAATAACATGATTAAATCATAAGTATTTGACGTAATAACATAACAAGTACTTACCTTATATTTATTAGGACCGGTAGGGGCAGTTGCGTATGGGATTCCATAAAAAACAAACACATCATCACCAGGCGCCTTGTATCCTCGTACAGGACCCTGATCTGTGTTCACCAGCCATCCCTCATTAGCATCTCCTCTTCCTACTATTATAAACACTACTAATAAAATAAATTTTAACATAGTGTGTGTCACGATAGTTCCGTAAACGATTGTGATACACTTCTTGAATTCACTTGTTTATATCCAAACAACTTTTATCATAACGATAAAAAACATAAATTATCACGATGATTTGTTTATCGTTACAAATCTTTGACTATAGACAAACGGACTGGCCAAACACTCGCGTTATAATAAATAAATTCTGTCAGTTTTCGCAGCGGGGAGAATAACAAATGATAATCACATATGTGTTAATCGAGTATAATGATGACGCGTCTTTATGAACATACTGACTCAAAAAATTACACACACAATGAGGACATGTATAAGCAGATTAAAGTCCGTCAAGGATCTTATGGTAGTTTTTTGACATTGACAGTGAGTTGCCTTATTGCAAAATGTTCCTAATTTATTCTTAAATTGCCCAAGTTCATAACAAAAAACTTGTTAGCAAATGGTTTTCAAATTACAATCTGAGTGCTCGTTGCTTATTATCTATATTGATACATTGACGAAGAATACAAGGAGACATTTCAATTTACATTATATAGATATTATTATAATAAAACTATATATTTTATAATATACTATATTTAGCATTAACAAAATTGAGTAGTCACATGTTATCGTTATTAAATTATGGTTCTAATATTAGCATTTTTTTTTAATTGGAAAGATATAAAAACGGCAACATTACCCATTTAACCGCTCCCTTATTGGACAAAATACGACGCAGTCAAATAAGATTGTTAGTAGTATTTTCCGACTGCTATAAGATTCTTGTCGAACTGTGAGAACTTATTTTTCATTTCTCTTTGAAAGAATACGCGGTTTACAGATCCTGACACATAAAAGTCAAAGTAAACTGCAATGATATGATAGAAATAGATAAAATGACTCATTATTGTTGTTAAAAACATCAAGGTCATTACAACAAGCATATCTTACGATATGTGTGATAATATATATGAATATTTTCGAGTCGTTGCTAAAGGACTTGTTGCTGATAAAACTACGATAGCAAGATAACAAAAAAATAACGAAATATAATGATAAGCATTTATTTTCAAGTACCTTAGCTTAGATTTAATTATAGCAAGTATTACATGATTGACTTTTGAAAACAGTGGTAGAGCCCGCTTTAACATCTTCCCACTAATTGGCCCGGCTCGCCCGGTGAAACACCACGATCGGACAGAAGACAGGCGTGAAGTAGAAGCAAGTGAAGTAGTCCTCTTTCCCTTGCCACCCTTTTTCTTATAAGGAAAGGTTGGGAAGTGGAAGTGGACTTTCCGGATGAGATGCATAGGTAGAGAAAATATTTTCTTTCTCTCTATCCTCTCCTCCGTCGATTAAAGGTAGGCAACGCATATGCAATTGCGTATGTTTATGGGCAACGGTCACTTCGCTATTTCAGTGATTTCGGGTGGCCGCTCGCTCGTTTGCCACCTAATGATATAAAAAAAAACATTTATTTCTAGTAAATTTCAAAGTATGCAGTTATAAAATTATTACCTACATACACTATATTAATATTTACTATCTACATGTTTTGATTAGGATCATAATATTTTTTTAGTATCAAAGTTCAATTGAAATTGTCTTGTGATAAAAAACTAAAAGTCATTCCGCATTTGTCATCAATAAGCACAAGTCCTAGAAGATATTATAATATAATGATAAAATTTTATATGGCCTAAGTATTTTTTTAGGCAAATAGTTTGTTAAAACGAAAATAAAACAAAATGTTATTTAAAACCAAAAGGTGTATTTGTATAGTTATTATGATTACAACTCTTCTTTTTGCCTTTTCGGTGGTGTAGGTGGCGGTTTTGGAACGTCGTAATATTTATCATAAATCTCGTCCCAAAAGAGAACGCGTTGCTGTAGCAATGGACCCCTCAGCTTAAGATACTTGTCTATACACATATGAGGACCACCATTAGCTTTAGTTGGAGGCCACTGAGGATGATCTGAATTCTCGGGTACAGGTTTCCTAAAAAACAGAGAGAGTTATTAACAACTTAAATATTTATATAAGTAAACATTTTGTATATAGTATATAGCATAGCATACCCTGTGGTTATGAAAGATGCCCATATTTTACGCATCATCCGTTTCATTTTCTGGGTGTCTTCAGGGAGTTTATCTTCCGTCAGGTTTGGCCACGCCCCATCAACGATCCCATAAGTCTGCGCACAATGATTGGCACCGCGAACCTCAGTGTACGGTATGAGCGGTGCACTGTCGTCCACGTAGTCATATTGATATAGGTAAATGTTATTGTTTCCAGACTCCACTTGCAACCTCACAGATCGTAAAGTAGGATAAGCAAAAATAATATCCGTAAAATAATCTACATATCTCAATATAGTTTCTTCGCTAACTGGTCGATTGCCAAAATAGAATTTCTTGATTCTTTCTGCCACCTCTTCTTTTTCCGATTCGCTGTCAAAGTGAAGATCACCAGGTAAGAAGTCGGAGAACTTCGCGTTCATACCATCTTTCCAAAAATCAAAATACGGTATTCTAAACAATCCTTCCATCTCAGCAAATCCATAAAGCATAGGTAACTTATATTGTTTACCGTCCTTTAAAATATTTAGAGGTGCGTCATCAAGAAATATTTCTTGTCCTACATCGCGTTCCACACAAGGCGAAAAAAAGAATGTGGAATCTTTTTGACTGAATAAATCGACGGAATGCAAGACTTCCTTTGAAACTGTTTTGTAAAACTCTTCAAGAGCATAAACGTCATCTTCATTGCCACTAAAGTTTATTAATTTAGCGTAAGCTTTAGCGTTTTCCAGCGGATTTCCCTGCACGCTAAAAGCTGCCATATTTGCCCCACTCTCTGGTATAACTTTAGTGAACAAACCTTTTGTCATTGGCGAAAGCATAAGCAGGTCTACTGCAGAAGATCCAGCACTGTATCCGATTATTGTAACATCATCAGGATTACCACCGAAACTGGCAATATTTTTCTGAACCCAACGAAGTAAGGCTACCTGGTCTTTCATTCCAGCGTTACCAGGCACATCTGGTGTGCCTAAACACAAGAAACCATGAGGTCCAAGACGATAATTGAAATTGATAATAATCATTTCTTTTTCCCTCATCAAGTTCTTTGCTACAGCAAATTCACCGTATCCTATTTGGTATGCACCTCCATGAACGTAGACTAAAACTGGTAACTTATTAGTTTTTGTATCAGGTACGTAAATGTTTGCAATTAAACAGTCTTCTGATTCTGTTGAATTTGGATTTGCCATAAAAAGGTTTTCCATTTGCGGGCAAATTATGTTTTTATTGACCGCTTCAAATGGTGTCGTCCAAGTGGGCGGTGGAAGAGGTGCCTATAACGAAAGCAGTAAATATAAAACATCTATAAATTATTTTCCATATAATTCGAACTCTACTATAAGACTTCGGTGTATTACTACACTGTCTAAGATATTATAATGTTACTAATATTATAAATGTGAATGTTAAGATGGATGGATGGATGGATGTTTGTTTGAAGATATCTCTAGAAGGGCTCAAGGGATCTTGCTGAAATTCGTCATAGATGTAGAAGTCTGGAAGAGTCACGGAAGACAGCTATATAAACCTTACCTTGTATTTGTTGGGTCCAGTTGGAGCAGTTGCGTATGGGATCCCGTAAAAGACAAACACATCATCGCCGGCATCTTTATATCCGCGGACTGGTCCCTGGGCTGTATTCAATTGTTTCACTTCTTTACTATCTCCTATTGCCAACAATATTAAAACCAAAAATGTCACCCATTTTATCATTTTTACATACACTACTTTATCGTTTGCAATCCTGACTGTTAATGATGTAACAACACTTTGTTTTATATAGCGTATATTTATCTTTTTTAGATTACGTGAATACGACACCGCGCAAGAAACCTGTATCATTGTTGTGTTGGTTAACCAGCTTATTACTCGATGCGGATTTATTACTTATATATATTGAAAACCTGATTATTCTAACAAACATTAGATCAAATAATATATTATTACCAATCTGCTAAGATTTAACATCCGTACTATAACCTATCAGAAAGTTTATTAATGAGTTTCATAAATAGCTGTAATTTTCATTCAGTTTAAAACCACTTAAATCCGTTTGTCAGTATTAAAAATTCTTAGTTACCTGGTTTTATATGTATCTAAAATATATATAATATATGAATTTAAAATTTATCTATTAAAAGCAGTTAAATGAAAACACATAATGAAAAAAGATTTGGTAGAAAAAAGGTATTTTGTTAAATATCCATTGCGATGTCTTGTACTCATTCTAAATTAATTCTTATCTTCCTGTAAAAACGCATCATTTTGTTCGATATACAAAACTATGCAAAGATAACCTTATGATATTACACCTCTTACCTCTTACATGAATATTAATTACCAAAGAAAGGCCGATGACATCAAATATATATTTATTTTGTTGCCAGTGTTCTTACGAATTAATAATATTTTAAAAATGAAGATTCATTCATGTTTTAAAATATTCAGTAAATGACTACAGCAAGACTACAGCGATCTAACGATGTCATGTTTTTAATTTTTATCAAAAATTTAATTTAGGCAACTTAAAAATGATAAGATGAACACATACGAAATATCTGTCAAAACGATACACCATAACCAATTACACACACACTCAACACGCACACACCTAAACACACACAACACGCACACACACAACACGCACAACAGACAAACACACACAACATACACACACAACATACACACACAACACTAACATCACGCTTGTATCAACAGCAGCAAATACAACATACCACTCTACGCATACAAATGCGCTAACCGTGTCGGTCACACATTCACACAGCTTATACAAAAGCGTGTGTGAATAAAATAAATGAATAATTTTTACTTCTGCCAACTTTTTAATTAGGCTTTGGTATTGATGGTGGAAATTGTAATATTTTTCATAGATATTGTACCAAAGGAATTTATAATAAAACTTTTTAAATTCAAATTACATTCATATTCCGGATCCGAATTATCATGAAGTAAATTAAAACTGCGACTGGGTATTGTTTTTTTCAAATATATTAAATACCCAAGGTCATCTGTCTGCGCCCTCCCGTATCTCGCTATGCCCCGTTACACCTAAAATGTATTATCGAGACTCGCGCGAGCTTAAGAGCCGTTGAGATATCTGAAAACTATAATAATTAAATCTAAAATTTCTTATTACTATGAAATGGGATTTTCCTTTTACAATTTTTGTGTGACGGTGGCGAAGGATAATTATAATATTTGTCATAAATATCGTCCCAAAACAGAACACGTTGTTGTATAAGTGGACCTCGTAATTTTAGTGATTTGTCCAAACGCATATAAGGACCTCCATTAGCTTGAGTAGGCGGCCATTTTGGTAGACTTGAATCTTCTGGTACGGGTTTACTGAAAATCAAAAGTGTAATTACGAAAATTGACCTAATAAGTTTAGAATCGAATTTAAATAAACACATTTGAAAGTATTTCACATATTTTTTTTACTTATAATAATTGATACTAACCTAGTTGTTATGAATGTTGCCCACAAAAATCTCATTATATCTTTCATTTTTTTATAGTCCCTAGAAAGGCTCTCTTCATTTAAGGGTTGTGGTGTGCTTGCCTCTGCTAAAGACGAAATCACGCCGTCCATGACCGCCAGAGTCTGCGCACAATGATCTGCGCCTCGCACGCACGTGTACGGTACAGGTGATGCTGTTTTATCAACGAAGTCAAACCGATACAAGTAAATATTCTCGTTCCCAGATTCCACTTGCAACCTAACCGATCTTAAAGTAGGATAAGCGAAAACAGTATCTGTAAAATAATCAATATATCGAAATATGGTTTCCTCACTAACTGCTTGCTTGCCAAAATAAAACTGTTTAACTTTTTGAGCAACTTCTTCTCTTTCCATTTCATCTTTAAAGTGTAGATCACCCGGTAAGAAATCAGAGAACTTTTCATTCATTCTATCTTTCCATGTATCAAACAGTGGTATTCTAAACAAGCCATCCATTTCAGTGAATCCGAAGAGCATAGGCAATTTATTTTGTTTACCATTTTTTAATATATTTACGGGCGAGTCGTCGAGAAATATTTCTTGGCCTAAATCACGTTCAACACACGGTGAGAAAAAGAATATAGTATCAGTAGCGTTATAAACGTCTACAGAATATAAAACATCATTCGGAACCGATTTGTAAAATTCTTCAAGACTAGACACATCACCACTATTGAAATTCAATAGATTTGCATAATATTCAGCGTTTTTAACAGGATTTATTTGAGTACTAAAAGCGGCAACACTCGCACCACTTTCTAGTATCGCCTTATTAAATAAACCAATCGTTATCGGCGAGAGTGTTAACAATTCTACAGCAGCTGAACTAGAACTGAATCCACTGATTGTCACATCATCAGGATTTCCGCCAAAACTGGCGATATTATTCTGAACCCAACGAAGCAGAGCCACTTGGTCTTTCATTCCAGCGTTACCAGGCACATCTGGTGTACCTAAACACAAGAATCCATGAGGACCAAGACGATAATTAAAATTAACAATGATCATAGCTCTTCGCCTTATAAGGTTTTTTCCTTTTAGAAAATCACCATTTCCAAAAATATATGCACCTCCATGAATATGAACGAAAACAGGTAAATTCTCTTCACTTGTATCGGGCACGTACACATTCGCAACTAAGCAATCCTCTGTTTGAACTTCATCAGGAATTGTTATAAGATAATTTTTCATTTGCAGGCAACTGATATTTTTTTTGATAGCATGGAAGGGTTTCGACCATATGGGTGCTGGCAGAGGTGGCTGTAAATGAATTCCGTTTTACGTAAGATTATAACGACATTAAACAACTTATGCGTGGATTAATTTAGAATTTTACTGATGTTGTCAGACCATTTGGTCGAAATAAATTGTTTCGAGATAAAGCGATAAACATTATATAATTACCTTGTATTTATTTTCTCCTGTAGGTGCCGTTGCATATGGAATCCCATGAAATTCAAACACATCATCACCAGGTTCTTTATATCCTACGACCGGCCCTTGTGTTGTTTGCACAAGTAGTGTTTCTTTAGTTAGACCACGGCTTAACATTATTAACAAATGCAATAAGACTCGCAACATTTTAAGGTACAAACGCCGTTCACAACGACCTGAGGAATAACGTTAATATGTTCATACTAATTATAAATGGAGTTGAAACAACTTCGATATTAATTTACGTTATTAACTTTATCTGAAGATGTTATTTCTGTTTCGTCTTTTATTTTTGTGTATTTCCTGCATATAATTACAACCTTCAGACTAATTATAATATTATCAAGTGTTAAAAGAATTTATATTCTTTTTTGCACATTGTTACGCACTGTGGCAATTTAACATGTGATACATCGTCGTACATACGTAATTCCAGACTCAGACAACGTAAGAAACATATTACAATAGTTAGATCACCATACGTTGATTTTTTGTGACTGAATTGCCATGTTTTGCCTTGAGAAGTCATTTACAGCTTCACCGGGCTTGAGGTGGCCGAGCGCAGATGGCACTTAGCCTAATCGTTTAAGAGTAACTAAGCTAGAGGGCTCCCCCAGGAAGCTCGGCTCGAGACGTTACTTCGTATTATTATCGGATTGGAAAACGTTGGTTTCTGTGATCAAAATCTCTGTATTATACATATCGTCATCCCCGTTAATATCTTTAAAAATTAGAGATAATATATTTTAAACGGGGATTGTAGTTTCGGAAACCTACGGTAATATAAATATAGTATGCGCTTTCTAAACAATATTTTATTTATATTGATGTTGCTATATCCTTTACTTACTTACTTACTCCGCTGGCGCATCGACCCAAAGTGGGTCTTGGCCTCCGACACAAGAGATATATATATATATATATCCTTTACACTACATTAAATTAACCATGGATGAATCAGTAAAATGCCTGTAAAACCAAGAATAATCAATAGTAAGGAATACAAGATAATGTTAAAAGATAATTATTATATAATTTTACTCATCGTCATTATCTACTAGTACCAATATTATCTTACTAATTATTTAATCGTTGATAATAATACCGTGTAATATATAATTTGTTTTTCGATTTCCGATTTATATATTTACATTTAACCGACCTTCTTACGTTGAAGGAAAACATCGTGATGCAACCTGCACATATCTGAGAAGAAATTCAAAGATATGTGTGAAGTCAACCAACCCGCAGTGGGCCAGCGTGGTTGACTATTGCCTAGTAACCCCTAACTTTGGGTAGGCTCCGAGCCCCTCGGTGAGGACGTATAGAGAGCTGATGATGATATAATATCAACTGTACCTATTAATACTCTCATACAGTCGAACCTGAAAAAGCCCGAGTCCAAGCAACGCAATTTTCTCGCTTATTAACCATTCTCGCTTAGCCAATATTCGCATATCCAAGGTTCGACTGCATCATATTGTATTTTTTGAGTACCACATTCAAACTTACGACTTGCTTACGTCATTCATTGACACCGAATAAAAACTTTAGTTCATGCATTTTTAATAGTGTAAAAAAAAAGTTAAAATTGAGCAAAGTCCGCAATCGCCAAAAAACTGTCTAACATTCCGTTCTTGGTATCAGACATAAAATAAAATTTCATTTTCATTTAAAATTACTTACATTTTAAGAGTTATATTTATTCTATAACTTCCACTATTAACTATTCTATATCTAGATTTATAGGTAGCAGCAGCAGAAAAAATGCATAACATTGTGGTTGCTTACATTTTATTGATAGTTTTATATACAGTAATGTATTAGAAATTATTACTTTAAACACCACATCAGAGAACGTTGAATCAGATAAAAACAGGTTTAGTAATGAGTCATAGGTCATAAGTCTTTACTTATGACTTTGAATGGAAAAAATATTTAATAAGTTGTTAAAATCATAAATATTGAAGATTTTTTTTTATTCCATACAAACACTTTTTTAACATTTTATAACACATACGTAGCACTATAAGTTTACATAGCAATGTTTTATTAGCATTTCATAATTTATTTATATATTAATATAAGTCCAAAGGAAAATATCGAATATATTTTTATTAATAAATAAGAGAACATATTTCCATATTTTAGGAGAAACGGAACGTTGCTTGAATAACGCCATCTAGCGATTCACAATTTAGTCTACAAAAGGCGCGTAAGAATCGTTTTGATACCAAATTACACATAGCTAAAAAATAACATCACTATCACATCGTACTACATAAAAGATCGTAAAATTAAAAAAAAAACTCACTAAACTGACTTTTTGGAACGTTATAAGTGATATACTATGGTAATATATATTGGTCCTTTACGTACTCAGGTAAATTGTCTAAATTAATAAATGAAACAAAAATTACGTATATAACCTTAATGTTAAACACTTTCAGGTCAAAGTGCATGACGATGTCATCCCGCTGGTTCTAGTTCTTAAAATTGCGATAGCAAAACATTTTGAACCTGTTTCAGCCATAACAGCCACGCTTTATAAAATAAAATTTTCCATATTACTGTTTATTTTAAATTGTATAGTCGAATTCAATGGCAAAGAGAAACTATATTAACATAGTACACTTGATGAAATGTAAAATATATCGACATCCTTGTCTTTCAACTTTGACAAAACAGAGATAACAATATGTTTTAAATGTGGTAAGTGAAAAAACAGAAACTCATGGTAAGTGTTCAAATTAATTATAAAAAAACGTTTATTTCTATTATAATAAATTTGTAAAGAGTGCTATAAAACTAAAATTGTTTAGATATGTTTGTTAAAAAAAAATATTACTATTGAATTCGACTTTAGTTCAATTTTAAATAATTTTATAAGTTTTAACATTAAATTACAGTTGATAAAATAACCGTAAATTGTGTAATTAACGAATTAATGATAGTTTGAGATCATCATGTATAACTATAAATCACCTTATATTTAAATTTGCTTATTTCAATTTTAGAAACATAGTTATGTACCTAGTCATGTAAACAATATTTAAGATTCAATACAAATTCATTAAAGAGACAGTAATTTACATAATAGGATATGTTATATAAACTAACTATAGTGGACAGAGATAATGAAATTTCAATAATTTTATCTAATAATTTCATACTTAAAATTATTCAAGTTTTGGTCGAGTTAGGACAGTTTTGTTAACTATAATTCTGCACTATTTTATTACTAAAAGTTTGCAAACGAGTGAACTGTATATATTGGGTAAAATAGGACCAACAGACATCTGCAAGGAGTGAAAGGATATCAGATGTCTGCTTTTAATCATCAGAGACAAATAAATAATAATCTAACTTAATCATAACTTTAAAATGGATTTTTATTATACTATTAGTATCTGCATTAAACATAAGTAAATTAAAATCTTATAATTAACTTTAAAAGCGATAGTAAATTAATTTCCTCGTCTTAATAACAATGGTTAAATACTTTTTCACACATTCATCGAAGTAAATTAAATTAAGCACAACATAACCTTAAAATTCCAGCTGTGACATTTATATTGGCATAGTGTTCTTTGTGTTTTCAAAGAGAATGTGTAGGATGACTATACAGCTGTTTCAACATAGCTGGGCTTACCGATGGGATAAAAATAATCCCATTGAGTAAGAATGGAATCTGGTTGCAGCGAACCAATGGTTTTCTTTTATCTTAATAATATAATAGAATAGAAATAATTTCCAGAACGGCTGTATGGATCTCGCTGAAATTTGGCATAGATTTAGAACATAGTGTAGAAGAGCACATAGGCTACTATTTAAGTTTTCTTTGAATACCACGCGGACAAAGTCACGGGCAATAACTAGTTATGGAGCAAAATTAATCAATTGGTTCAATTACAAACCTAACAACACAATATGTAATTATAAGTGTCACAGCATTGAAACTCTACTGTCAAAGTTCCGAGAAGAAGTTTTTTATCAAATAAAATCTTACAAACCATGAAGCACTTAACACTGGCACTTAAATAACTGAGATTATATAATAGACATCTTAAAATATGTTAATAGAAAAATTGTACTTAAAGTATCAAGAATATTCAAGCAATATTTTTGATAAATTTTCTATGCAGAAGTTTTAAACGAAATATGATTTAATATCAATTATTTCATTATGGATACATTGACGAGTTTAGTAAAATTATAAATTAACCTATATTTCTATGAATGTAACAAAATTTATCAAACTTGACATATATCTGTTAGTTACAACTGGTAATTGATATGAACCAATAAACTACTAAGAAAATTGCATTGCATCTGAATCGCATTTAAAACACTCATTTAAAATCTTTTCAAAACAAGCACAGAGTGTGACGGCTATATACATAAGCGTGAGACAGAGATAACTTCTCCATATCAATCTTCAGAAGCACAAAACACTGTGTTACATATACAAAACTAGATGAAGATTTTCAACACAATTAAGCACACAATTGTTCCAGTCTCATACCCTGTGACACCTGATATAGGTCACTAGTAACACAAGAGGTCCAATCATGAAACAAGAACTTCTAATTTACTTAGAGAAGGGACTGCTCAACCATTATCTTCTCATAACCGGATGGAGGAGGATACCGGAAGTTATCTAAAATGATATCCAAGATGGCACCGTCGTCAACTGAAAAAAGACATAGGCTGTCTGTGATATTTTAGAATTCATTTTTATTTTTAAAAAATTCGTTATTTACTTTGTACTACATATTTTCACTTTGGATATATTCTATTCACTACCATAAAAAAAAATTGTTTCGTTGAGAATATAAAGATTTCAATGTAAAAATTATTCACGTCTTGACAAGAATTTATCAGTTAAATTGAAAACAAACTTACCATAAAGAGCTGGATATACAGTTCCTTTAATATTCCTGACTGGAATCTCCATATTCTTTCCGTTTAAGAAAAAGTTCATCTCAACATGATCATATGCAATACCAATCACATCACCTTCAACTGGCATCACCGATATTGTACTATCAAGGTTGTCACTCTCTGGTTTATCATCAACATGATTTGGTGACTCGGTCGACACTAATAGCTCAGTAGGTGAGTCACGAGACGCAGGTCTTAAGTGATACAGTTCAATATTATCGTGGCGCACCGTACCATCACTGTTCAAGCACCATGACTCCTTATCAAAACCACCTGGAATTCATAAGAAAAAAAAATTCTAATATTACAAATGCGAATGTTTAGATGGATGTGTCTTTTAAGGTATCTCGGTGAATGGATCTTGATGAAATTTGGCATACATATAGAAAATATCCTGGAAGAACACATTGGCATATGTTATGTTTTTTTTATTTTCCGCTACTGCAACTGCTAGTTTCACTACAAATTCATAAATAGCAGTATTAAAATTGCTATAGACAAGGTCACAATATATCTAGAACAATTATATTAAACAATAAAATATAGTTACACCACTCTAGATCATATTTGGTTTAGTGTCACATGACCTTTATATGTGTGACACTGACCTAAAGTGAAGGCACTATTTGAATGTCAATAAGACACACTAATATTATAATTAAGCAACTACATTTTGAACTTTTATGACTAAATATGATTAGAAATTATGTTTTACGCAAATCAGTTTGAAGGCCAAATTCTATTCTTTCTACTCTACCCATCTTTTATAAAAGAGGAAGGATGCAAAGGGGATAGTAAGTAATTGGGGGTAAATATATAGATAGGAAAAATACCAAACTGAAAATGTTCTATTCTGTTATTAAAAGTAGACACTGTACCTGGTACTTTTAAAGCTTATGACAGGTGTCAATAAGTAGGAGAAAATCTTAAACATTCTTGAATGTGTTAATTTATGTACTAGTTATTGTTGTAAAACAAAATTAGAAGTTTTACCATGAACTCTATTCAGATCTGTATCCCTAGTAGCAAGTCCCACAGCCCATACTCCTCCTTGCTGCAGCTTTACTTCAAAGTAGGCTTTATTTTGGACTAGTGGTGCATTTCCAAGAGTGCAACCTGATCCACAGGCTCGCTGTCCACTCTTCACTAAAACAACTTCATGGCCTGGAACAAAATGGAGATGCATACTTAGTTACCCAATTAAATGTAATCTTTAGGTTAATAATTCACCCTACCTACACACTTAAAATTAAAAATAACATGAACTCAAACCATTTTAACCCAGCAAGTAGACAGCTGTTATGTTTAATAATTTTCAAAAATAGTAAAAGCAGTAATGTATTTTCAGTTATAACAGAGTAACAGAATTATAATCAATGAAAACCACAATTGATGGATTACTTCATCATAAAAAAAAAATTATTACCCATATGTAAAGAATCCAGTTGTATTGGATTCTCCTTTATCCGTACTGGAACACTTGGGGTCAACGTGAAGCCGTTTATACACCCTTTGAGACAGCAAAACATGTTTATCATTGTACTGATCTGTTTTAAACGAAAATCAATACAAGCTGACTCCGTGAAAATATTTTTTCTCTCTAACAAAGTATATATTTACTTTCATTCATTCATCTCAATTCTCAACTGTCAAATTGAAGTGATGTGACAATGACAAATAAGTGTGACAGTGACAACTATATTTTTAATTTTCCAAAGATAAGATGTTTCCATGCCATTGGTACCAAAAAATATTATAACAAAGATATTTTTATTGTTTTATTATTTAAAACAAAAAGTATAACCGATTCTGTAGGGTCCTAAAACAATATTATTAAGCAATTTGAGAATATGCCTTGCATATTATATCTCAAGGGGTTCGATTCAATTTAGATTTTACAAGTCGATTTGTTTCTTCCCTTGTAACAATATTGTATCTTTTTTGTTATCCACCAAAAAAAAGCGGATGCCTACATCCCTTTTTCAAAGCTGGATCTGTGCCTGTTACAAACAGCATTAGAGTGAGCTGGTAATCCTAGCTATGAAGAATTAATTCGACTTTGATACTTTTTAAATCAAGCAATCTTATCTTCTCAGAATTCCTTGCTTTATAACTGTGTTAAGTGACTTAACTGAATTTTAAAATAAATACAAGAAAGATATATTTTAACTACATTTATAATACACGTACATTTCAAATTGTGACTACAAATATAATTTTAAGCTAAAGTTTACATCCTGTTGTGTCTAACGGTACTTCGTTTTACTGTTTTTAAAAACTCGCATATCTCACGCCCACAGACACTGAATCATCAGGTTACATCAGAGATTCTACTGATAATTACAAAAATTACAATACTTCTTTAAAACAAAGGTAACATGAGTTAGATAGATTTTATTTTTACTAGACTAGTTTCTGAGATTACCTTCTCTTCTTAATTGGTGATTTTGGCGGGAGAGAGAAAGTATAGGAAAAGAAAATACCCCTTTTCTATATGTCCTATGCATTATTTCAACAAACACAAAAATGTAATTCACTTTTTAAGTTTATTAATGATAACCGCCAGGACGCGTTTTGTATTGTGCTAAGAATTTATTTATTAAGCGTAAACATACGAATGCCAGGAACGCGTGATGTCGAGACGAGATAAACAAACACAAACAACCAAAACATCACACACCTAAGTCAATATACTAAGCATATTACATAGTACATCGATTAACCATCTCATTTAATACGAAAAGTAAATGAATCAAGGTTAAAGAAACAGGATAATTAAACTAGAAGTTTTTTTTTAAAACGATTATCGCTGATAAATTAATCGATCAGTCAACACAATTTTTCCAATTTAAACCATCTTCAAACAGACGATTAGTCTAACAAATTCAACACAAATACCGTGGGTTTCCACGGCCGGTACACTCATACCGAAACTCTTTGCAACAATATGGGTTTCGGGAATGAAAACTCACGGATGGAACCATAGAGAAGTGGCAGCTTTTAAGTAAATAGACTAAACAAAGAAAGTGATGAACCGGCTCTACTCCGGAGAAGATTGTGGATTGAATGAGTAAAATTATTCGAATATTCAACAAGCTCTTGCCTACCAAGGGCTTATTGCGGACGATACTAATAATACTTGCCAACTTGGATTATTATTGCCAACAAGGGGAATTAGAGAAAGTTGTTGTAAGGTATGCATGAATACGAACAAGGTACAAAGTGTCCATTATGTGTAATGATTCATTTGGTCACGAATATAATTTCACCGAAATATACAGGATGGTGATAAATGATTACAACTGTTCGGTGGTCATTTATTAATGAGCCAATAAATCTTTTTTCTTTTCTTCAATACTATAAAACCGAAAATGTAAAAATATTTACAACTATAACACAAAAAATGCTATAGCTATCTGGCTATCATTAAAAAAAAAACTTATCTAGGAGTGAATTTAAATTTATTTAGATAGTCTTTTTTAATTCAGTTGGTTAAATTCGGCCAAGGTTTGCTTATAAAGTTTAGTGAAGAAAAGATACTTAAAGAATAAAACGGATATTTCGATATGGATTAAAGATGAGATATCTCATTGCTATAATTACATTTTAAATTATTTTTTTGAACTAAGATCTTATGTCTTACGGCCAAGGATAATGTCTGCTAAATGTTGCTTAGTTTTTAATGTTGGTAATTTAACAAATTTATGTATAACATTGCTTCACTTGGTGATTAGTAAAAATTTACTCCAAAATATATACCTTAGAAATAGGAGACAATGAATAAATAATGATAATTTATACAGCGAAAGTTTGTCGTACATTTTTATTACCTGTAAAAAAACTACCTAAATGTCCAGAGTCCAGAATATTTATGCACATTGCAAATATATTAAAAATAAAAAGCACGCGTTGTTTACATAAAACTGTCAAGTTTGCTTGATGAGTAAAATTAATTACAAAATCTTAGCTAATCACCGATTGACTCCTAAATAATAAATAGATAAATCCTATGGAAAGTACCGTACTTTTTAGGTTTTTCCAGTTTTTAGAACAACGTAGTCGTATAAAATAACCATTTAATACTTTCAGGCCGAATCGCCGAGACCCGAGCGAAGCAACGTGCGCTAGCGTACCAAAGAAAGCCGCGATTAGCAATGCCAACACGTATACTGTCAACGCTCTGCCAACAGAATGTTCTAGAATTCTAATAGGGAATTTTTCATATATCAAGGATCTAATAATATTTATTCGTTGCGATACATTAGTACGATAAGTAAACAAGCTCAGCGTTTTTGCACAATATGTATTGAAGTTAGGAACAACGGCTATCAATTTGGCATAGAGTACAATTAGTCCGTTTCGTCACCAGGATTTTATCCAAAATATAAAATACGATTCCTAAGGTCTTACTTAAGTTTATAAGAATTAAGTGTGAAGAAATTGAAGTCGTCTGAGATGTTAACCAGTGTATTAACCACTGGCGAAAATTTCTAAATTACATTGTCGATCTTTATAAATATGTTTTTGTTTTTTCGATCTGCAATGACAACAATTGCTGATTGGTACTGGTGATACTGGTTATATTTCTAAATTATCCATGTCCGCAGCCTTAAGGAAAAAAAAAGTGAAACATACATTACAACGCCAGGTATTAGTCAGCAAAATTTCGTACTCAATTATCTGTTAGAACCACCCTGAGACCGCGAGGGTTGGATGGTGCGTGCTTGCTTCCTCTATATAAAACGAATGCGCGGCGACGGCGCATCAGTTTGTGACCGATTCGGAAGACAGACGCATACGTAAGTAAAACCTCCTCTGTCACATTTTTATAACCAGCCAGTATTGTATAATAGAATTTTTTTTTTCAAAAAAATAATATTTTGTGAGTGTTAACTTCGTAATTTGAGTGTAGTTTTTTTAATAGTGTAAAGAAATTAAATTTATATAGGTTTATTAAGGACTGAAGTCATGGGTGGAATGAACCACTTAGTCAAAGGGCCAAGGTCACTTTCTACTCAATCCAGGACCGGTCTTATAATCCCGGTACCTTTGCCTCAGCTTGCGCAATGCATGTGGTGCAGTTAAAGAAAATTTGTTTGTAAACAACTTTGCCGTACAGCCACAATAATTATACTTATTTTTTAGTAGAAATAATTGACCTTATATTCTACTAATATTTTATTAAGTCTCGGTTATTTAATATTATCAAAAATCTAGACTTTAATATTTGAAATTAATTAAACGAGTTTACTCTTTGACCTTTTGAAAACAATTATTATTTTGTAGCTTCTGAAATGCGGATGTGCTATTGATACATACAAGACAACATGCATACAAGAAAATTAATGAGTTTATATTACTTAAGGCTTTAGGTATTTTAATTTTATAATTTTTACGACAAATGGTAATCTGTTTCATTTTTAGTTAAATAATATACATACTAATATTCAGTTCTTCGACCCTAACTGTTGTTATTCGAGTAAAATTATAAATCAAAGAAACTATCCGGTTATATTGTATTTATGAATATCACGCAGCTTTATTGCGAAATCTTTAAAAACAACGATAAATTTTAGATGCTTTTAATATGTTCAAAGTTGACTTTAAACGAATGAGATAAAGTAAAATAAAATACGGAAACATAATATAATATAAGAAATATTTTATAATTTAAATAATTAATAAGCTTAAATATTTTTTACTCGTAATATTTTATATTTTTGTTTAGTTTCAAAAAAATAACCTTTTCGGACGGATCATCGCACAGAACCCTTTTTTTTCTGATCTATATTTAGAATGTTTCTCCCTTGACAGACGATGACGGCGAGATGGATACTATTGTTGGCAGTGGTGGCGGCGGCGCACGCGCAATTCCCCAACGGACGCATCCTCGAGCCCCCAATACCCTCACATTGCGTCAACAGAGTCATACACGAAAGATATGCCGACAGTAAGTACCATTCTCATCAGCACGTCCCGACCGAGGAGCACGAATCTATCCCATGGTGTAACCCCGAATTAGGCCAGCGTAGTTGAATAATCCCTAGTCATTTTTAATAACTATATATACTCCCGACAGTAATTGTTTTTTTTTTAATTTTATTTGTATTGTTTGCTTTTTATTGTGTACAGCAAAGAATTGGAACAAGCTGCTGGTGCCAGTTTACGTATGTTCATTCTATTGTGATTAAGACTTATCATAAAGTAGTTCTAGACTAGAAAACTTAAGCATCCTCACTTCGCGGACAAATTATTTATCAACTGACATTCTTGGTCATCTTCAATAATACTATACGAAACACATTATAATGTTCTATTTGTCAGATATACTGCCAATTTATTCCAAGATCGCGTGAAAAAAAGTGTTTAAAATGTAACATAAGTTGACTAAAACATTTAAATGATCATAAAATATGTCTCGATTTAAAACTGGGAATTTCCCGTGTTCGATAAACTTTAAGCTAAATTAATTTTTTCTTAAGAAATTTTTAAAGCGTATTTTAATAAACAAAAATAGAGAATACAAGTTTTGACACAATTTTTTTTAATACACGTAAGCTTAAAAAAAATATTTAAAACATTCTTATTTGTTTTACAATCCTTCTAAATTTACATGTTGGCATACATTTGATATAAAAATGGATGTTTATTCGTTTTTATCTAATTTAGCGATTTTAATTATCATCATGAATAATTATTCATGGAACACTTAAATTATGTAAAAAGAGGAACGGCAAAGACATGTCTTCCGTTAGAAAATTTCATTTTTATCACTTACTAGCTCTCGCCCGCGACTCCGACCGCGTGGATGTATAAAAAAAACATAATACGTGTAGCCTATGTGTTTTTAAAGACTACTTTCTATGCGTATGCCAAATTTAATCGACATCCATTCAGCCGTTACAAAGATATCTTCAAACACCCATCCATCCATCCACATCACATCAGCTCATCACTCATCAAAAAGCAGCTCTTCAAGGCATAAATTCGAAAAAGAAAAATAATAAATAGCATACTATGTCCGTCTCCTGGCTCTTATCTACCTCCTCACCAATTTTCAAAATATCGGTAAAGCCGTTCTTGAGTTATTAACACGACTTTCTTTTATATATATAGATTTCGTAATAATTATTGGATATTGTATATTACAAATTGCTAGTGTTATACATACACATGAGAAAAAGTGATTTACCGGAATCATTTCATAATTCCAGAATTTTCGCATAAAATGTAAATTTTATGGTTAATATATTGATGCTTTGTATCGAAGGAAGTTATAATTACCCTCGTGATAAAAATACTAAGCCATATTAATCGGCGTTAAAAATGAATCCCGAAACATTGTCTCTTAGAACCGGATTGACTACAATTGAGAAAGTTGAGACGACTATAGAAATTTTAAAACGTCTTTACTGACAATGCCTACTATTGTTGGAAAGTTAATACTGATTGATAAATATGACACTAACCTAACCTAAAATATCCGAGTTTATATCTTACTTAATATTATAAATGCGAATTGGTTGGATGTTTGTTTGAAGATATCTCAAGTGTATGGATCACGCTGAAATTTGGCATAGAAGTAGAATGTAGCCTGGAAGGACACAGGCTACTAATTACATTTTTATTCAATTCCGCGCGGGCGGAGTCGCAGGCGACAGCTAATACTATACATCAAAAAATAATTGCCATGACAATAGTATACATTATGCTTAGTTGACATATCTTATTTAATTAGAAATTAACCTACCATCTTGCTTTTGTAATGTCTGTCTGGATTAAAAGACATAAACGCATATTATTAACATTAAACAGCATGTTTTCGATGATACAGTGGGTTCAAGTTCAATCTATTTGCGTACGTAATGGAAATGGAATAAGTTCAATATTTTAAATGCCTACTACTTAAAAAAAACAACAAGTGACTTATACTCGATCATTATTGTCAAAACTTTACAGATATTACAAACATTTTATCGTACTTCTCAATTTATACGCAGAAAAGGTTACTTGCAACTTAAGCTTTCGTGAAACGACGTGCTCCAAGTTATCTCGATATCAATCCCGGATGTCAGATAACGTAACCTGTTTCTGACATGGAATTTGAGTAATTCTACAACTTGATAACATTGTACTTAAAGTACCTTTCTTTAGTTAAAAAAGCTTTGTCATAACTCGTAACTAAAAGATATTTTTCTAATTTATCTTTTCTTTTATCTCTGTCCACTCTATGATAACACAGTCGTGAGTCCTTACTACGATACAATATAATAACTTAAATATCATATAAATAACTATTACATAACAATACAATTTAATTATTCCGTTGTGTTGCGTAATGAAAAACATCAAATGATCGACAAAAACATAATAAAAACATCTTCTCGCATAATATTCTTATTCTTACTTACTAAGTATATTATTGTTACTATCAAGGATATGACCTTTTAAAACGCCGGTTAACAACTTGATGAGAATATCTAGAATGTATTGTACGGCCCGGATAGCTCAGTCGGTAGAGCATTGGACTTTTAATCCAAGGGTCCAGGGTTCAAGTCCCTGTTCGGGCGACTCTTTTTCTTGATTTTAAGTTAATTTCAATTCATATTTAGATAAGTTTACGCAACCTTTGTGTAAATTATGTAAAAAGATAAAGGAGTTTATAATTATTTTATCAATAGATTTTTTAATGTTTTGGATAGAACAATCAATTACGTTGAAACATATTTTAGTGTAAATTCTTTGACTATGAAATGCATTATGAGTAACGTTTACAAATTGTTTTATGGTTTCTAGTTTTCACACTGTCAAAACCAATCCTAAAGAGGGTCAAGGAATTCATGTTTAATACTTTTTGATTTTGTAGATAAGGGTTATTTCTTCTCGTGGCGCGACCCCGCTCTGCGTGGTGTGGAAGAGGACTGGCTGAGTGCAAGGAACTACTGCCGGCAACGCTGCATGGACCTCGTCTCCTTGGAGACCAGCGACGAGAACGAGTGGGTGAAAGCGCGCATCATTCAAGACAAGGTAGGTTTCAAATCTCCTGTATTTTAAGTCCAACAATTATTATGTCAGCCTTTAGTAGTATTCGTGTACCAAATTTCCGTTAGTCTGTCCTAGCAAGATTTGCAATATGTAATTTTTTTAGCAATATCTATAATATTATACAATTTCACTTTACGAATAATAGGCCTGTTGAATTTATTTCGAAAAAAAAATATTGTGATTCAAGTAAAAACAAATGATTGGGTTTAACTGTATGTATGCTTTTCCTTAGTTATTTTTCAAGAAGTAGCATAAAGCGTAGTTTATACATTTGGAGCACGCGTCCGTCGTCCAAGGCGTAATCGATTTACTCCACAGTTTCCACGATTGTTCCATCCATTTACATGTATTTAGGGATAATCGAGAGATAAACGCGTAGCATTAGCGACAATGAATTTCCAGCCTTGACCCGCTTGACTACAGCGCGTCAAAAATTAGGAAAACACTCACGTGTGGTCGTGTCACGAGTTCACCAGCACCACTCACCGCCGCACATCCTGACCGTGACGTGAAAACGAAGTATTTCCAAAGCAATAGAAAACAAACAAGCAATAGAAAGTGTACAAAATTTCTTACCATCGTACCGTATCGAATTTAAACAGTTTTGTTTTGGATAAATCAATAGCGCTTTAGCTCATTTGAAAACGAAGAGAACTCTCGATTGTAATAATATCGCACGGCTCCGGTGACACAAGATGGTTTTTAAATATTTTCCCTTTTCAGATTTCACTGTTTGTTATCGACAGAATGGCCTCTTGTTTCGTGGGAAACCGTTTTTCTCGCAAAGTGTTTCATCTTTTTTAATGTCATGTCGATTTGCGATATTAATCTAACATGTAGCATTGTGATTAGCCTACCCGAGAGTCCAAGTTTGATGCCAAATAAAAATAACTTTCGTATTATTTTTGTTTCTGCAGACTTGAAAAGATAAGAAAGTAGACAAGATAACATTAAATTAACAAATATTTTGAAAAAAACCAAAGATTTAAGACTATATGTAATTATAGAAATAAGGATGTATAATAAAATAAATAAATTCTATTTGGGAAATAAAAAATCCATGATTCGTCAATTTAATTTAGTCGAGAAAAAAAAATTTGAAAAAAATTGTATAACATACAACAGAAATGTTGGTCACCTTTTTTGCTGATGAAGGAACTAGATTATGGCGCTAGTTAATTACATAACAGAAATAGTTGCATCTGGTTTCCATGTTCATGATGCCATTTACACTGCAGCGCAACCAGTTTTTGCTCATGATAAACTAAAACTCATTACACCACGTTTAAAAATTATAAAACAAGAATAGACATCAACCAAAGATTTATGAGATAAAAATAACTTTATTCATAGTTCTAGCATTTCGAGAATAATTTATTATTAAAACTACATTAAGGATGACCCTTAGTTACTATTTTTTCGTACGTGCAGTTTCCTTAGCAAACATAACAGAAACATTTTATTTTGCAGGTGAAATACATCTGGACGTCGGGCCGCCTGTGCGATTTCAAGGGCTGCAACCGACCTGACCTGCTACCCAATGAGATCAACGGCTGGTTCTGGACCGCTGAGCTGCAGAAGTTGCCGCCCACCACCAACAGACAACAGAACGACTGGTCCGAAGGCGGCGGCATCGGCAAACCGCAACCTGATAATCGGGTAAGGAAACATCCAAAAAATTACAAATTATTAATTCAATTACTATGGATTATTTTTGCAATTTAGCTACTACTGAACAAATAAAAATACTGAATATACGAAATTTGTATGTTGACGGAAATAATATGTCACGCACTTTCGTTTATGCAAATTAAATTAGCTATCTTCTTGATATGCGTACTCTTGTTCTAATATAACTAACTTCTGATCTTCTGTATTTAAATCCGGAATGTTAAACTGTTAACAAATACCTACCGGTCCCTTGCTAGCTTATTCAAAGAATATAAGGAAAGTAATGATGTAACGGGAATACAATAACGTAGTCATAACTTTACGTAACCCATCCGCGTCAACGTATGACTCAATTCCGCGAACCGTTAAGTAATACTTACCGTAAAACGTTCACCGCAACGGCGTAGCGTCGCAGCGGATGTCACGCAATGAAAACGAAAGCGTTGTAAATATTTATGGGGCTGCGAAATATTCGCCGAAGGGCATACCCGCATGGTACATACGCTTTCTATCGCGCGACAAAAGCTTATCTGTATGCCGTCAACGTTGAATACTGTTTGCGTCTCACTTTCGCCCACATACGTAATCCACGTCGCACATCTCCTACATCCGCCTGTAGCCACTCAATAGTCATCAATGTTTGACACATTGTGTAATTACTTATGCAATGACGACACTAAACATAATAACGCGAAAATATGTTTTTAATTTGCTAAAGCCATGCAAAGAAAACATAATAAACCTACAAAACATTATAAACTAATACATTTTAACTTAAATAAAGACGTCAGACTGTATCGCCATCGCCACATTTTACACTTCTCATAAAAATGTACTCATTTGTACCCATGTTTATTCATCCATTTTTGCAAATATACAGTCGAAACTGGCATAACGAGAGTCCAAAGAATCGCGACATTTTTCTTACTTACAGTTTCTCTCTAACCCGTGTTTCTCGCTTGCGAAGCATCCGTCGGGACCTGTCAATGACTCTCGATTATCCCAATTCGACTGCATATATGTATTTTCATGTTGATTGCAAAAACCCACTTATTTACTTTTGCTACAGGAACTTCACCAAGGCGGCGCTGCGGAGCACTGTGTGGCTATCCTGAACAACTTCTACAACGACGGTGTACATTGGCACGACGTAGCCTGCCATCACCGCAAACCTTTCGTGTGCGAGGAAAACGACGCTCTCCTCAAATACGTCAGATACACGAACCCCAATTTACGAGTGTAATTATTTAAAAATAAATAACATAAGTACATAAAATCGATTCACAAAGTATATACTTTGTATTCGGTTTAAACCAAAAACATGTAAAAGAAATTTTACCGCAGAGAAATAAACTGGACATATGCAAATTGGTTACAAACATTAGCAAATTGGTAAACACTGTCTCTGTGTAATAGAAACTATTTTCTACACTTTCATGTTTAGTCTTAAGTTTTACCTCATTACATATTATATTTATTACAGTATTGTAAAACTTTGAATGCAGTCCATAATTACAAGAAAATTTGTGTTATTTTAAGTATTTATAATCTTTTAATAAAGACTGCTAAAAGTATATTGTTTTTTTATTATAACTTTCATCCATATATCCAATCCAACATTCATATTTTGTAATTACTCTTATCACAAAAGATTTGATCATTTTTACCTAATTTTTATCATTATAAAAGTGAAATGGGATTCAGGTTTCTGAAATCAATTGGGACTAGAAAAAAAAGTGTTTATAAACCATTGTTTTATTTACGGATAACAATTTATATATAAGAATTTACATTAAGCTGGTAAGGTAAATCTAAACCGATATTCAAAAGATCTGGGCCCAATTTTCTTACTCATTACAAACCATAGACACATGTTGCAGAAGAAAATAACAGTTAATATTATTGTTATATGCATCATACGGCACAATCGAAGAAAACTTAACTTCAGACTTAAACTGTAACAATTAAATCCAGTAGTTAGGTATTATCTCTCGAGTATCTTATGCCTAATCCTATAATTGTATAATTAAATTAACATATAGGAATTATACTCACTCTCGGTTTGCAAAAGCATCTATATCAGATATAATAGACATGCTAGAACTTGGTGGATCAGGCAACAACATGTAATCTTTATCAAATTGTTCTTGGAGGCAACAAATTCTTTCCATGACAAATAATAAGAGAATAGCCCAGAAATACTCAAACTCAAACACCATGTCTGTCATTTTTTCCCTTCAACCATGATAATATGATAGCCGAACTTCGTTTTAATGGGTGGATCCGTGTATATAGGGTTGGTGACTGATGATATAGGAAGAGCAAATGCTGCATCCTGGAAAGGGCCAACCATAGACCCACGGGTCATCCAACCCAAATCTCCGCCTTGTCTGGCTTTGTCTTCACTGTATGCTGCCGCTACATCTGGAAACTTTTGGCCAGCTTTTAATTTTTCTAGTGCTTCCAAACATTTAGATTGTTTTTCACATAAAATATGACGTACTTTGACAGCTGTCCCACCTTTTTTTTCTTTCGCAGCAGATTCTAAAATTTAAAATCAGATGCTTCAATTGTTTGAATGACTACCATAGAATATTAGGTAGCAAAATTAGTATTTATTTGTTTCACGTTGAATTCTAACCTAACCTTTTGCATCGCCGCCGGATTTCCCACCACTGGATTTACCTCCTCCCGCCTTAGCTTGTTTTTCCGGTTGCTTTTTAGGCGGCATTTTAGATGGGATTAAATAAAATCTTAATTAATTTATTTCGAAAAATCTATTTAACGCATCCAATGTTTGATAACATATCAGCATTATTTTATTGACAGTTGACAGCTACTGGCAACAAATGACATTCAACAGGTCATAAATATTGCAGATTTAAATTATGAAATTGAAGCCAAACAAAAACATTTAATATGAAACGGTTATTAGCTTTCTTATATTTATATTCAGGATTCACGCTTGCTATAGATTAAATAACATATCCAAAATGACTTTGACTCTCTGAAATCATTGTTACAAAATGTTTTTAAGTCATTCCTAACTTCTGTCTTTTCCCACATTAAGGGTCTGTGGTTGCTTTTAAATCCTACATTCCTACCAAAATTCCTAAATATCACATATGTCAAAAATCAAAAAGTTGTTTTATTGTTTAGAATACAAAAATGTATTAAAAGCAGCAAAATTCTAGCTTTAGTTCTAAGTAATGTGATTGTATAACGAGTATTTGCTATATTTATGTAAGCAAAATCATGTTTTGTAGAAATTAGGGTAAGTAACTCATATATTGATCTTTGTAATCATGACGTGACTCCTGTGTCAATAACTTAACAATATTTAATCATAACTTTACAGGTGAATTGTAATTTTGTACAAGATGGGAATAATGTATGAGAAACGGCCTTTAAAAAGGCCTCGTCTGGGACCCCCTGATGTATATCCGCAGGAACCACGTCAAAAAGAAGACGAACTTACATCTACAAACGTTAAACATGGTTTTTCCACCACACCACAATCTAGTGATGAATTTGGTACCGCAAGGAATTTTAATTATTCTGCCTCAAAGGTATGTAACCGCTCATTTATTAAGGAGGTCAAAGTTTGTTAAAATTTTCTGAAAACATCCAAAACAACAACCTTTTTCCCATTTGCCTTTTTGTGTTCTTTTCTTCGTGTATCTAAATAAATAAAAAAGATTATGCAATAGCCAATGTATATTTACTTTATTGAAAGTTCAATAAGTCAGTTTGTATTGCAGATAGGACAATTTTTCTCAAGCATAATATCAAAGAAAGAAGAACTAAACACACTTCCTGACTGTGGCCGGAAGAGACAGCAAGTGAATCCCAAAGATAATTTTTGGCCAGCCACTGCAAGGACCAAACCACAAATAGAAACATGGTTCAAGGACTTAGCAGGTATACTTTTGCTACACATAATAAAAATATAAGTCATTTTAAGTAAAGAGTAACAATAAATTCCGTTCAAAGGAGCATCTTCATTGAATTTTATATGTATTTTCAATTTTAGTAGCTTCAACAAACAACTAATTTCAACCTAGTATTTTGTAAAACACTAAATGAAGGCATTTCCTTAAATTTTAGGTAGCAAACCTTTATCAATATTAGCAAAAAAGGCACCAAATTTTAACAAGAAAGAAGAAATATTTATGACACTGACAGAATATCAAGTGGCAATGCCGAGAGCTGCATGGTTTATAAAGCTCAGTTCAGCGTACACAGTGGCAGTCTCGGAGGCTAAGATAAAGAAGAGACAGTTACCTGATCCTACTACAGGTAAGCAACTTAAAAAACTAGTGATTGCCTGGAACACAATTGTTGCAGAAGTAAAAAAACAAAATTAGTATCCTATGTGTTTTACCAGACTGTGTTCCATATATATTCTCAATTTCATCAAGATATGTTAAGCCCTTCTGGAGATACCTTCAAGCAAACATACATCCACCCATCCAAACATTCACATTCATAATATTAGTAAGATATCTGATTTATAAGTAAAATTTATGAGCAAGAGGTTTTTACATAATGATAAATTATTTAACATGTCTTCTTTAAAAACTTTAAAATACTGAATGAAATTTGTAAAGGTCTTAAATAAGGTACTCCATAAAAGCCTTTTATTTGGATAACAATTTGTATGTAAAATATTTCACCAAATAACAAAGTTATGAGTAATTTTTTTACTTCCAGAATGGACTACTACACTTATAAAGTTTCTAAAAGACCAAATACCAAAGCTGGCGGAGCACTATCAAAGTGCAGTGCCTACAAACCCATTGGAAAAGACTCCACCATCTCAGTCAGGTATGTTGGAAATACTTAGCTTAATTTGTTAATTAAAAAAAGAAATATAAAAACAAAGTTATGCCCAAATGTACACCTTTATGCAGGTCAAGGAACACCTAGTCACAATTCATCTGGTAACCAGCCGGGTGGCACCACACCCAACTCGACTGTACCAAACTCTATGCATTCACCGGGAAACTCCAGTAGTATGTAACATTTGTACAGTTTTATGCTAATTAAATAATTGTCTATAGATTTCTCATATTACAAAAAAGAAAATAAACAAAAATACAACCAATATTACAAAGTAATATCTTCACAATCAACCTTTTATTAAATAACAAGCTTTGACAAAAATCAATAAAATCTGTCTATGTCGTTTTCTGTTTATGCGGACAGTGTTGCAATTTTTCTAATTTTAATTAAGTATATTGTCTAATTAGCTACAGGTATGGGAGAAAGTACGGATTGGCGACAGGCTTTGAAACTATGGAACTACTGCTGTCGTCTCGCAAGGTACATGCTGGACGAGGGTCTGCTGGACCGCCACGACTTCCTAACGTGGATTATAGAGCTGCTCGATAAAAGAGGACCTGAAGATGGCTTGTTGAGGTTACTATGATACTTTAATAGTGTTTTTGAATAAAAATTTCAGACGTCATCAATCTTTATTGGAATGACTAAATTAAACATTTCTCAAATGGTTAAAATCTTACTTAATTGATTTTTTGTGACATTTCTGTATATGATTCTTGTAAAAAAAAATATCCTTGTTACTTTTCCCTTCATATCAAAGACTAAAAGTGTCTTTTTGTTACAATGTATATATATTTATTAAAGCAACTGATCTTTATTTAAATAGTTTATTTTTTATGCAGGTTGTTTCTACCATTAGCACTGCAACATATGAGCGAGTTTGTCTGTTGCGAGGGTCTCTCTCGCCGGCTGGCCACCACCTGTGCCAAGAAGGCAGCGGCCATTTGCTCTGTACTGTCTGACACCACACTACGAGCACTTAACCAACCTGCTGTGTTCACTAAGACTGCAGATGGAAGTGATAGTATGTTTAAATACTTGTATATGCTCATCTTAAACCCCTTTTTCCACTAGTCATACAACTCTAACCTTGACTGCATTGGCCATAGTAATTGTAGTGGTGCAGCAAATTTCGGTAGTGGAAAAGGGGATTAAGATATCTATCCTTTTATTATTTTTCCAGAAGTTAATGGTGTACCAATGTCACCAGCACCGGAAAACACAAATGCAGATGTAAAGCCGAATGTCAATCAATTAAAGCGTTCAGCAACTCCCGCAGAAAGTCAAGGCACTCCGAACCCCAACCATTCTATAGGAACACCAAATCCAAACCATTCCATTGGTACTCCTATACCAATGGGTACACCGAACCCATCACAACCTATGGATGTACAAGTAAAAGAAGAAAGAGGATCACCACCCAGAGATGTAAAGACTACCCTAAACACTGTAATAACTGCAGCCTTAAATCCTGTACAAATGGGATTCAGTGAAATATTAAACTGCGCATATCATAGAGATATAATTATACAGTTAGCTACAGTATTACAGGTATCAAATTGAATTTGCCTTATTTGAACAAAACTAATACATACACGTTAAGCGTAGGCTCCCATTACTGAATTACCTGTGCAAAAAAAATATAATTTAGAAATTAATAATAAAATTATTTGGTACAGTGGAAACCTACAATAACTATTTTAAAATAAACAATTCGTTGAATACATATTCTGTATTAACACACTCAAATAATCTCATTATATGTTTAAGATTTATTTTACATTCAACTAAAAGTGAACCATTTAAAAAATAATAAAGTCATTATGAAATGTTTCAGATAATCTGCATAGAATGTCCAACAGCTATGGTGTGGTCAGGCTGCGGCTCTTCAATGCAGGGCTCCCCCCTCGACCTCCTACCTTTACCACCATCAGCCTTACCCATGCCTCATATGGACTCCGATGTTACTGAACATCACAGGAAGTTGGTAAGAAGGGTTTAACACATTCATTGCTACAACTACCGCTTTTAAGTTTACTGTTTCATAGTAGCATGGAATGTGTTAACTAATTAACCTATTATTTTGATAGGTGTATGAAGCAGAACAAGAAATAGCAGCGAGGAGTAAAAAAGCTGAAAGCAAATGGTGCACTGATAAATGGCAAACAAGTTCACAAGGTAACAATCATCTTAATTTATACTACAGAAAGTTATCCCTCAATCTTACATCTTACTTATAGATCCGAATGTTTGGATGGTTGGATAGATGGATGGATGGATAGAAGGATGTATTTTTGAAGGTATCTCCAGAACGGCTCCACGGATTCCGCTGAAATTGGGCATAGATGTAGAACATAGCCTGGAAAAAAACATAAGTTACTATTTATTATTATTTCGCGCGGACGGCGTCGCGGGCGACAGCTAGTTCATTTAATTAAACTCTCAAAGAAATTGATATAAATGAATGATTAAAAATACGGATTACCTCCTTATTTTTGAATTCGGCTAAAAATAGGTTAAGAAAAGCATTATCAAAGTGTTTAATCATATTATTTGTTACAGCACGTGTTTTAGCAGTGTTGGAAGCGTTAGACAGACATTGTTTCGACCGGGTGGACCCCAACAATAACCTTGATACATTGTACAAAGAAGTGTTTGCAAACTGCACGCCTCCGTCTAGTAAAGATTCATCCACGGATACTAAAGATCCTGTAAGTTTTATAATACTTTTACTAATATGAATATAAAATTTTATTGTTTTTTCCAGAAACACAGTTTTGTGTGCCAAATATCTTTGAGTAGTGTAATGAATTGTGAGCAAGTATGGCCTACTTCACATATCTTGGCCTAGCCCAAGGGCTTTAGCCCATCTCGCCCTTCCTGTACGCCTCGACAAATCTAAAATTATGTGCATTGCCGAGAGGCAACCAGATGTTTTAAAATGTGAACACATGTGTTGTGCTTAGGAGTGGGCGTGTTCGTACGCTGTGGTGCGCGTGCTGTGCGAGTGGGCGGTGTGCGGCGCGCGCTGGGGCGAGCACCGCGCCATGGCCGCCGCCGCGCTGCTCGACCGCCGCCAGCAGCTGCTGCATCTGCACCACGACCATCACGCCACAGGTGCACTGCTGCTTCAACATTATAACCTCAAACACATTACCATAAGTTTTCATTGCCAAAATATTGTACAAAAAATATATTTTTTGGAACGATTTTTGATAATAATGGCGGTGAGAATATAAATATACTAGCTGTCGCCCGCGACTACGTCTGAATTTAAAACAAAATAGTGCCTCTGTGTTCTTTCAGACTATTGTATATCTATGCCAAATTTTAGCGTTAAACGTTCAGCCGTTTTGGAGATACCTTATAAAAAACACCCATCCATCTACACTTTCGCAGTTATAATATAAGTAAAACTGCAACAGAGTTTTGGCAATGAGAACCCACGATCATGTGAGAACTAACGCTCTAAACTCTCTACTTGGACGGTATAATTTTATGAAAAGAAATGTTCATTATTACAGGTTCAGACGATAAAGAATCTATAAGCTCCGGTACAGGACTGTACAATGGACCACCAATCTTTCAGAATCTCCTTCTAAGATTTCTGGACAATGATGCACCGATGTTAGGTATGTACATTATTTAACTGCATCTCCTACAGTATGAGAATAAATGAAAAAAGTGCTTTACATTGTTTTTTTTTTCAGACGAGAGTCCAAATGCTCCTCCGGGCAACCGTCAACAATTTGCCAACTTGGTCCATCTCTTTGGTGAACTCATACGCAGAGATGTTTTCTCACATGACGCATATATGTGCACACTAATATCTAGAGGTAATATCTTATTTTTTACTAATATTATAAATGCGAAGGTTTGGATGGATGGATGGATGTTTGTTTAAAGGTATCTCCAGAACGGCTGAATGGATCCCGATGAAATTTGGCATACATACAGAACATAGTGTGAAAGACATAGGCTACTAATTATGTTTTTTTCCGCTTGGACGGAGTCGTGGGCGACAGCTAATATTAAATATATATCACTGTGATGTCTTTAAATATTGAAACAGTCAAAAATTTAATATTTTATAATGTTTTTGTACTTTTGTGTAGGGGATCTAATATCTCCTACGGAGCCGACGTCGAGTGGTGGCACTAGCGGACACACGGTGGCGCCACCTGTCAACAGTACGGGCACCAATCACAACATGGACGATGATATCTTTGCCAGTATTGATCTCAAACCAAAAATGGAGGTAAAAAATTTACTAATTTGATTTATCACGAAATAAAAATAAGTTGCCACTACCTTTACTGATGAAAATTATATTTGCAGGAAAATGTACGAATGGAGGACGATTCAAAAATCGATGATGACCTTGATAAATTATTACAACATATAAAAGAGGATCAGCAGAATTCAATGGATGCACCCGACAGCCCTAAAGATCCCGGTGAACCTGTTCACAGGTATATTGAACTATTTTTAACAATGTAAATTATTTTCTTACGATTTGCTTATGTATGAAATTTTATCGACAGTTTAAACTCTCCAATGATGGGTCCGAGTGGCATGGGTATCGCCAACATGCAGAGTATAGGAATGGGGCCAATGTCTGTACCAGGTACATATTTTTCCTAATTTTATGTAGTTAAGAATCATTTTTGTTAATATCACGTGAAAAAAAATAAAAGTTGTAAATTCCTAACATAGTTATAGGCAAGTAAAGCTCATATTTATGTATTACATGAAATAGTTGAGAATTTGGCTGAATGTGCAGGTATCCGCAGCAGCAGCGCGTGCGGCGGGGTGGGGGGAGTGGGCGGTGTGGGTGCGGGGGGCGCCAGCAGCGCTCCGGTGTCTCGGCACTACCACTACACGATGCACTTCCCGCTGCCGCCCGCCGAGCCGGAGCACACGCCGCACGACGCCAACCAGCGACACATTCTGCTCTATGGCGTCGGCCGCCAGCGAGACGACGCCAAGCACGCCGTCAAGAAGATGACCAAAGGTACACTGCTATACTAACGTAGTAGCTCGGATAACGAACGGAATACAATTTTTTGCGAAGGCGTAGGCGTAGGCTTTCCTCTACTTGCCTATAGCGTATGCTCGTATTTAACCGCGTGCCGCCATAAAGTTTGAATCTTATATTAAAAATTGTTAGGTTATAGTTATGATGATTAGTGGGAACTTTATATATGTGGTCTTCTTCTAGAAATCTGCAAGTTATTTTCAAAGAAATTCTCAATTGACGTCGCTGAAGGTGGCAAGATAAAGAAGCATTCGAGAAGTGAATTTAACTTTGAGGCTGTAACGCAAAAGTTTCAGGTAAGCGAGATTATAAACTGACGGACAATCGAACTTTTGCTGGACTATCGGTATGTTAAAAGAATGCATGTAATGTATGTGTGTGTGTCAGGCGATGTCAATGTACGAGCAAGGGGCGGTGTCGTGGGCGGTGGGCGGGGCGGTATGTGAGGCGCTGGCCGCGTACGCTGCAGGCGCCACCACCTACCTGCCGCAGCCCGAGCACGTCGCCTTCGCTCTAGATCTCATGGAGATCGCGCTCAACGTGCACGGGCTTATAGAAACATGTATACAGGTTGGCCTTTGTTTTTGTATTACCAAATAAACGTTTCCTCCCTTCAATCCTATCTCATTCGAGATACAAAAACTAATTGCACTAGTATCAGATAATTCTATTTAAACAGCTAGCCGTTGCCCTCAACTTTATAAGTGTGGAACTCAAAGAAAATAGTTTCATAAAAAATTACGCGTTCCTTTATAGTGTTTAGAAATGAACGAGTGTTAATTTGACTTGCAGGTATTAAAGGAACTGTCTGAAGTAGAAGGCGCGTTGATAACACGCGGCGCGCCCAGCAGCGGGCTGGCGGCGCCTCGGGCGTACACTTCTGCGCTGGCGCTCTGCACAGTCGGCGCGCTCAGGCGTTACCACTCCTGTTTACTACGTAAGTTTATTTGCATTCGACCAGCAAATGCCTTACTAAAGACGGGGAGACACTTAGTGTAGATTTAGACACGTGTAAAAAGGGTATTTTGTTGTGTAGTGTGCGTGGAGCAGACGTCAGCGGTGTTCGAGCAGCTGTGCCGGCTGGTGAAGTGCGTGGTGAACCCCGGCGACTGCGGCTCGGCGGAGCGCTGCGTGCTGGCCCAGCTGCACGACCTCTACAAGGCCGCCGCCCATCTCTGCCACGCCCCCTACGCTGATACCTTCGCTAATGCCTACCCTAAAATCAAGTACGTACAAACATAACGTTCTTAATGTAATGGAATTTAACGTAGTAGGAAACGAATTTAAAAATGTTTGTAACATTAGCTTACCTTGAAATTGTTTTGCAGGCAAGCACTTTACTCTCCGGTGCAACCTATACCCGCCAAGTATAAATACGATCCGGAGTTCTTAAGCGAGTTCTTTATGAATCCCCGGAAAGGTAAGCGTTATTATGTGTTACTAGTTAAGTCAAAGAAGTCAGATTGTTTATTTTCTCTAACTAAATCAAAAATGTTAACATAGGTAAAATAGAAATCGCGTGGGCGCGTCAGGTAGCCGAGTCCCCGGCTAACAGATACAACTTCGTGTGTTCGGCGATGTTGGCAGTCTGTCGGGAAGTGGATAATGATCGGTAATTCAATCTCACGTATCAATCCATGTGATTAGATGCATCGAAACCATATAGGAGTATAAACTAAAGTCCGGTTTCTGAAATATGTTATTCGTGCGTGTTAGTGTGAACGAGCTGGGCGTGGTGTGTGCGGAGATGACGGCGTGGTGCAGTGCGTTGGCGCCAGAGTGGCTGGGCGCGTTGGTGGCTCTGTGCGGCGCGCAGCACTACCCCGCCCCCAAGCCGCAAGTGCCGCAGTGCGCCTCCCCGCAGCCCAACAGGCCGTGCTCCCCCCCGCCACCGCCGCCCCTCTACCCCGACCTGCTGTGCCACCGCGACCTACACGACGCCGCCGCACACGACGCGCTCGCCGTCTTCACCTGTATACTTGTCGGTATGTCAACACCGCATACTCCTTCACATTTTAGTCCTCACTTCCTTCCCACCCTTTCTCTTATAAGTGAAGGTGGATTTTCCGGGTGAGGGGATGTTTGGATAAGAAAATATTCTCTTTCTGTGCATCCCCTCCTCCGTCGACCAAAGGTAGGCAACACATCTGCAATTGCGGATGTCTATGAGCAACGGTCGCTTCTTCGATTCGGTCGATTTCTGGTGGCCGCTCGCTCGTTTACCATCTTATGATATAAAAAAACAATAAACTAATTTGCTTTAGATACGAAGTAAGTTTCTAGGATTGTATTTGATTTATTAAATGTTCAGCCCGTCACTGCTTCTCGCTGGAGGACTTCGTGCGGCACGCGGCGCTGCCGTCGCTAGTGAAGGCGTGCGGAGGGGGCGGGGCCAATAACCCGCCCAACGCCCCCTCGCCTGAGACCAGCGCGCGCCTCACCTGCCATCTCCTGCTCAGGCTGTTTAAAACCGTTGATACACCACAACCCGGTGCGCACTTGACATGGTTTATTCTTGACTCTGGCTTATATGACTTGTTTAAGGACAACTCTAACTTTATCTGCATATATTGACAGGTCTGTACAGCGTGTCCACGTCGCCGGGTCCGGGGGGCGGGGCGGCGGGCGTGCGGCTGTCCTGCGACCGTCACCTGCTGGCCGCCGCGCACAAGAACATCGGCGTCGGGCCAGTGCTCGCCACGCTCAAGGCCATACTCAGTCAGTACCAATACTAACCTTTATAGTCCTTCCAGATAGTATACTAGTGTACATTTTTTTAAATAAATTGCAGTGGTAAGCGATTTATCTGCTCGAGATGGCGGCAAACCGAGCGGCAAGAAGTCCAGCGAGCTCTCCCACATCCTGGGCACCAGCGATACCGTGCCCACGGATGCTCAGCTTGATCTAATGTCGTAAGTATTTTTATATCGTATGTTGCAATTATAATTATGTTGGTTTTTCATTGAAAAGAAAAAAAAACATTACTACAAAATGAATTTGTCCATTAGGAGCTATAGAACTATTTTCTGGAGGAAACTTTCTTTCAATAATATTGACTGGAGACAATTTTTTATTCCTAGGATGGTAGAATCAGAGATGAGTGGGGGCCATAGAACTCCTAGGTTTGTTTTTATTTTAATTCCGAGTTGTAATGTCGCACATGCCGCGCCGACCCTTGCAAACATAATACACGAGCTCTCCTCTCATGACTCACCCGCTTTGCTTCTGTCCGTACGATGTTCACTGTCTCCACTCTCATCTACAATCTATGGACGTGTTGATGATGGGATTTGTCTATGAATGTGTCTACCAGCGTTGCCAGAACTATCTCATCTTTAAAAAAAAATTATTCAACGATTTTTCACTGGAAAGAAAGAAAAATAACTAAAAAAATCTTGATAATGTAATTATCTTATAAGTCTTCAAGGCTTACGTAATCTCTTAGTAATTTAATCGTTGGTTTCTTTGTTTATTGTGTCCTTCTAACGCGAAAAAATCTCATATTCCTTTTCTTAGAACGCACGTACGTTCGTACGTATAAAGTTGTACGTTGTACGCAAAAATCTGGCAACGCTGTTGTGTAGTGGCTTTCCTTTTACCCTGGTGGACTGTCATGGAAACTTTGAACGTAATTCCTAACTTGTGTTCCATTAATCGTTTCGTATACCATTGTACATTTACGTTTGTTTGTGACTCACCATTGTATAACGTGTGGAGGTATTACGTTTAACAAACACATTGTTATATCTTACATTTTAACTATTTACGTTCACTGGGTGTCTTGTTCGTGATGTCTTTTAATGTCTTCTTGTTTTTTTTGTACATTTATTTCTTCAATTCAATAAACTTATGTATTTTTAATTTATTAATGAATATTAGATATAAATCTTCTAAGCTGTTTTATCTGAATTATATTTGACCTTTTACAAAACAATCTTAATTAAAAAGATTAACTCTTCTCATAAAAATAGTTATAGAACATCATTGGAATGTATGTAAATAAACATCAAATGTGTTATTTATTTAATAGAAAAAAAAAAGTAAAAAATTAAACTCTGTGCATAGTAATTGTGTAGTAACATCAAAGTGAGTGTTGGTTTAGGGGTAGCGGGGGAGTTGGTTCAACGCTGCTCGACTCCTCGCAGTCCCTGTCGTCTCTCGCGCGGCGCATGCTCACCGAGATCTGCTGCGAGGAGTGGGTGCTGCAGAAATGCCTGCAGAACCCTGACGAACTCTACCTGCCTGATATGCTATTGGATTCCATGCTTACACCGAGACAGGCACAAAGGTACTGTTTTAATATCTATTTTTATAAGGTTCCAAAGCGGCTACCTGAATTCGCCGAAATGGCGAAGCGACCGCTGCTATAGACATCCGCAATCTCAGATGCGTTGTCTACCTTTAATCTTACTAATATTACAAATACAATGTTTGGATGTATGTAGGGATGGATGTTTGTTAGAAGGTATCTCCAGAACAGCGGCATGGATCTCGCTGAAATTTGGTAAAGATGTAGAACATAGTTTGGAAGAATACACAGGTTACAATTTTTTTTTTAATTTCGCGCAAAAGGAGCCGCGGGCGACAGCCGTCGATTAATAAATGAATTTTCACACAGGAAAAGTATCGCATAAGTGTTGTTTTGAACTTTTCAGATTGCTGCACATGATATGTTATCCAGATACGGCCAGTCATACTCATCCAGATCTAGATCAGAAGACTATGATCACGCGATTATTAGAGGTTAGTTTTTAAACAAGTGGTGTTTGATTAAAAAATCAACTACAATTTACTAAAGTGCCAGTATATATGTGTAATTAATTAATATATGTAGAACCTGGAGCAGTGGTCGTTGCGAATGTCGTGGCTGGACTTGCAACTGATGTTCAACCAATTCCCGCCTAACTCGCCGGAGCTGAGCGCGTGGCTGGACACTGTAGCCCGCGCTGTCATCAACGTGTTCCAGCAGCCGGCACCACCGCCCCCAGACAAGGACAGGTATACATTCTAGCTCATTAGGTATTAGCTAGAGTCCATAATCTTTAAATACAGTTTTAGTAGGTAGTTACAAATTTGTTTCAGAACGGGTACGGACAGGGGCGTGGTCAGTACGAGCAAGTGGTCGGAGTCCGTGTGGTTGGTGGCGCCACTGGTAGCTAAATTACCTGCCGCTGTACAAGGAAGAGTGTTGAAGCAAGCTGGACAGGTAACTATAATTTCTGTACTCAAAATTATCATTTTTAGGGTTCCGTACCTCATAGGAAAAACACGGAACCCTTATAGGATCACTTTGTTTTATTTCGTATTATTTAATGTGCAACTTTTTGGTAAGATATTGGAGAGTGGGTGGGGTGCGGGCTGCAGCGGCGGCTGCGCAGGCGGTGGAGGCAGTGGCTCGCATCGGGATTGCAAGAGCCATCAGAGTCCTAGCTACAAAGGGTATGCAGTTGTCACTAATTTCATGGAATGATTGTACGTAGTGGCAGTGTTCAATGTGTGTTTTGTGTTGTAGTTCTGCTGGAGGCGGTGGAGGCGGGAAGCGCGGTGTGAGCGGTATGTCGGGCTCGGGGTGCGCGTGCGGAGGTGCGGCTGCAGTTCGTCTCGCCAACGAGCCGCTGCTCTCGCTCGTCCTCACGTGCCTCAGAAATCAGGATGATCAAAAGGTCGTCAATCAATAAAAAATATAATTATATTTTTAATATACCAATGGTCATAGTCAAAAGTTTATTAATTACTGTGTAAAAAATATTGCAACATTTCTTAATATTAAAGTAAAAATGCCACACTCAGAGTCCATAAATAGAGATTAAGAAGATCTATGAGTATAGGTAGATATTAGGTTTGTAGATTTAGAATGAGGTATCTACATTGCTTAGGTAATTAGCCGTCTCTGAGTGAGTTTAGTATCCTATTTGTTTAGTACGTGTGTTGATTGTATGTGTTGTGTTTTCAGGAGAGCCTGCTGAGCTCTATCCACGCGCAGCTGGCGCACTACCTGGGACGTGCGCGCGAGCAGGAGCGCGCGGCGTGCGGGGACGCGCACGACGAGGTGCCCGCGGACGCGCTGCTGCTGCGCTTCTCACTCGCCGGCGGCATGTTCGATGCCATCCGCCGCTCCTACCAGCTCACCTCCGACTGGGCAGTGCTTCTCACACAGCTACTCGCCCACCAAGTCCTAGATGCCTACAATAACACGTAATTATTACTAACCATTAAAAAACTTTATAACTGTCGCACTTTTACATCCATGACCAATTTCATCGTGATTCGTTTAGCTTTTTTTAGAGATATCTTCAAACAAACATCCATATAAACATTCGCATTTATAATATTAGTAAGATTTAGAGAATTTCATTCTCCATAATGTCGTATAGTAGCAAACTTAACAACTTTACAACATTTATTGGATATACACATACTTTTAGAAAATAAGTATTGTAGAATCTTAAATTGATTAACTAGTCATTTTTCTTTGCATTTTTCATAATATAAACGATTTAATTCATAATAACATACAAACTCTCAGGTTATGCCGCAGCAATCTGTTCACGACACTAATCGATATGCTGGCAACACTGATCCACTCTACATTGGCGGAGGGCGGCGACGACAACAACAGGAAGCACTACCAAAACCTCATGAAGAAGCTCAAGAAGGAGATCGGCGACCGGCATGGACCCTCAGTACAGAGTGTCCGCCAGCTACTTCCACTCTCCAAGAATACTATCATCGAGGTATTTATTGTTTAGATTAAGGTCCTTCCCACACAAGGCAACGTAAATATTTGAAACTCAGCGATTTTAATCTTTACGCGACTTACGACATACAATGTTATAAAGATTTGTATACAGCATGAGTCGCCGATTTTTTTTATCGCCGTTAACAGTCGCTTCCAACCTGTATGTCGAGATCGTCGTGACAAAAGTCGCTGCGATTTTCAAGATGGCCGAGCAAAATCTATACAGTTGACATGTAGCCTATATAGCCTGTACTGATCGAAGACTCACGTCGACGATTCAAATTTGTATGTATGGAGCCATACAATATTCGTTTCGACAAATCACGTGTATGATGGTCGTAATAGTAATTAAAATATTAATTCTAATGTAACCGTTGTATCCGCAGTGAAAACCTACAGTGAACCGTTTACTTTCCTAGTTGTGACCAATTATGTTACAGAAAATTCTCGTATGTTTGTTTCAGGTGATCGCTTGCGAACCTTTGGGTTGTTTGGTGGATCAAAAGGGAAACAAAATATCAGGATTCGACAGTGATAAAAAACAGGTATGTTTAAAAACCTGCATATTAAAGTAAAATTTGACAATAAATTTGATCGTTTACCGATAACTTTGAAAGAAAAAAAACAAGCTTAACAAAAAATCGGACTGATGTAGCTAAAAGTCTGTTATTTATCGCTTACAATATTTATTTGTAGGGTCTTCGGCTAACAGACAAACAGCGGGTGTCCAGCTGGGAGTTGGTGGAGGGTGGCAGAAACCCAGCACCGCTGTCCTGGGCCTGGTTTGCTGCCACCAAGATAGAAAGGAAACCGCTTACTTATGAAAATGCTCACAGGTCAGTTCAACGTATTATACAAAGTAAACTACGACGAGTCAAGCAGCGAACATGTTATTTAACAGTATCAAATACTAGATGTCGCCCGCGACTCCGTCCGCGAGGACTTAAAGAAAGTAACTTAGTAACCTATGTATTATTCTACGTTATGTATTACATCTATAGCAAATTTCCATGCCGCCTTTCTGGAAATACCTACTAATAAACATCCATCCATACATCCAAACATTCGCATTTATAATATTAGTAAGATAGTTAAAAGATTTTGTCCCATTTTCACTGTTTGAAAGTGTCTCCAAACGTTTTAATTAGTTAATAAAACAATTCGTTTTGTACAGGTTACTAAAATATCATACACATAGTCTCGTCCAACCACAGAGTTATTATTTGGAATCGATACCATTGCCGCCTGAAGATTTGGAAACTAATGACAATAAACAGGTAATTTTTTTTTTCTTTTTTGTCTTTTAATGATTACAAAATATGTTGGCGACTTATTTGTGTTCTACATAGTAAGTAATCTTATTCATTTACAGGATAACGGAAGCCTAGACTCGAGTCCGACAGGAGCTGGCAAAGGACGCAAGATGCCTTGCAAAAATAATAAAGCCAAGAAACCTAAAGTGGCTACTCCCGTATGTATTCATTTAATCACACCAAATATATATAAGCAGACAATTATTTTCAACTATAGCTGTCGCCTGCAACTCCGTACGCGCGAAATTAATAAAAAAAACTTAATTAGTAGTGTATGTGTTCTTCCAGTTAGTTCTATGTTTACGTCAAATTTCAGCCGGATCCGTTCAGCGGTTCTAGAGATACCTTCAAACATCTATCCATTCATTTAAATATTCGCATTTATAATATTATATATTAAGATATTTTTCATACATTTACACAAATACTCCAATTTATATCCTTTATTTTTTTATTTCTGTAATAATACTATTAATTGCAGTGAACGCAAGGAAAAATCATTGTACATGACATTGATGCGGTCCTGGTACACTTTCGTATTTATATGTCATTGTAAATCTTTGTTTACTATATATTTGACAATAGATGACATTTGTGATAGACGAACGTGGGCGGTGGTGTGGGAGTGGGTGGTGGCGTGGGTCTGGCTGCGCCGGCGCAGCAACCGCAGTTCATACAATCGCAGCAGCAGTGGTTCCCGCCGCCAGGAGCCACGTATTATAACCCACCTGGTCAGTATCTCTAATCTTACTTATATATTTCAATCTGACTATATCTGTCACGAGATTGTTCATTTTGCCTGTCTGAATATCACCAGGTAGTTTTAACTAACAATAAAATAGGAAATAAAGCGCATTTTGTAGTACAAAACATTATTAGTTAAACTCAACTATGATGACCTTCACGTTTTAGTAAATAAATTCAAAACGAAGGTATCTTGTAAAGTCAGCAATGAAATCTATTTGGTTTTTTTTCAGCTGCTGGTGTGAGTCCGCGCTCGGTGACGCAGGCCTCGACGACGCAGTGCAAGCAGGCGCTCAGCAATATGCTGCGACAGCGCGTACCCTTCAACCAGATGACGCAGATGCAGGTCTGATGATAACTCTGTTAAAGATGGTGGTAAATTCCTTAACGCCTATAGCCAAACGCCCTAAAAGCGAATGTAACTAGAGAGATTTAAAAACATATCTCTAGAATAAGCTGTGTAAGACTGTGGGTTTCTGGGACCAAAATCTCTGTATAAAACATGTCATCATCCCTGTCATTATCTTTGATAAAACAGAGATAAACATATTTTTTAAAAGGGATTTAGGCCTCAGAAACCCACGGTAAGTGTTTCACTAGAATTAAGCGCTAGAGGTAGTGTTATTGCACAGTTAGAAATAACATTTCATTAAATATAATTTTTGTAAACAACAGCAGAATACTGGGTACCCGGGTGCACCGCACCCGCGCGCTCCCTTCCCCCGGCAGGGCATGCGACAGATGCAACCCAATCAGATGTCGCAGATGCAACCCAAGTAAGTAAACATATTCAATCAATATTTAACTAGTCCAGTTATATTCTCATATACTGAAATTCAAATTGCCAAAAAAAATATAAAGGAAAAGACCTTAGTAACTAACAGATAAATTAACCAATTTAAATATTCACAGTCAAATGAATCCCATGAGTGCTATGGGCAACATGGGTCCGATGGGACAAATAGGTGGAGTCCAAATGGGCCCTGGGCAAATGGGCGCCGGTCAGATGGGAAGCGGGCAAATGGGCCAGAGTCAGATGGGCGGCGGGCAGATGGGCAGCGGACAGATGCCGGGCATGGGCGGGCAGATGTTTGGTGGCCAGTACGGAGGTATGCAACAAGGATATGGGGGCTATGGACAACAAATGATGCAAGGTAGCCAACAGCAAATGATGAATCAGGTAAATATTTTAATTGTTAAATTAATTTCCTTTTTATTAATGAACGTAAAGAATTATTAAATCGTAATTTTCTATTCAACAGGGCATGGGTCAAAGTGTCAATCAAATGAGTCAACAAGTAAACCAAATGGGTCAGAGTGTCAACTCTATTGGACAAAATGTTGGACAAATGAGCCAGGGCGTCGGACAGGGTGGACAGATGCCCCAGGGCATGGGACAAATGGGGCAAAGTATGGGACAGATGGGTCAGGCCATAAGTCAGATGGGACAAATGGGACAAGGAGGTGGTATGGGACAAATGAACAGTCAGGGCTCATCGATGGGACCGCAAGGTGGCAATGCCATGGGTGGATTCCTCGGACAACAATCATTCCAACACCAACAGGTATTTAAATTTGGTTTTAATGTTGTTTAAAAACTAACAAAAGACATGTTAAAAGACAATTTTTCAATAAGAATAATATCTATTTGTTTATTTCAGAATATGATGAGTGGGCGAGCGAGTCAAGAAGCATTCCTAGCACAACAGAGGCAAAATGCACGCCCGCAGTATATGCAAGTAAGTTTAAATAGACCTTTTACATCAATCCTTAATAATTGTAGTAATCAGAAGGCAAGCTTTTTTAATTGAATTCAATTTGTCAAACACTCATAACTATTGTGACGTCACAGGCACCGAACGTGACAATGGGCGGCATGAGCGGTCCTGCGCCGCCGTACCCACGCAACATGCAGCCGCAGCAGAGCGCGCAGTATGGCCAGCAGTTGACGCCGCAGCTACGCATGCGCCAGCAGGTGCTAGCTATGCAGCAGCAGCAGCAGCAGCAGGGCCCGCTGGTGCAGCACCTGCAGCGACAGCAGTACCAGCCGCCTTACTGAACAACTACCGACGTATATGCTGTTTCAAATCAAAATCTACACTTTGTAAACAAATAAACGTCACTTCATGTAGAACTTAGACATAACAGTTTATATTTTTGCATTGTAGATGTAATTTCGTAGTATTCTGATATAAAATGGATAGCTAATGTAATAAGTAAAAATAAAACAATTATGATTTTTAATAGATTCGTTGGCATTTATGATATTTGCCATAGTGAGGCGTTTGAAAGTTTAAGTTCTTGATTTGAAACAACATATAATTGTCAATATAAGTTATAATTATTTCCGCATACGCAGTCAACTCGCGCATGAGATCCACGACAATGCTGACGGATTATAATTCCATAAAAAAATTAGTTGTTATTAGAGTAAAAGTCTTAGCACTACCACTAAATATAAAACAGTCCACGAGTATGTATAACTGTAGGTTTTAGGGCGTTACAATAAAAAGCCATGTTTAATTTTTTCACACAAATCATTGTCTCGAAAGGCAAGCGCAGCACGAGTCATGGTCCAATGATATTAAATATAAATATTTGTTGTGGTAACTGTCCCGTAAATGTATATGTATGACGCATTAAAAGTGACAAATGTAATATTTTAGATGAATTATACACATTTTGTATATATTATTTTCTAATAGAAATAAGGAAAACACTACGGCTAAATGAAATCATTAATCAAGTTATTTATATATTATTTTATTATTAGAAAAATGTTTAGGTTATTTTATGAAATATAAATTGTGCTTTTCAATCGCTTTTAATTTAATTTATTTTTTGTTTTAAATTCGGATATAAGTAATAGCTTAGTAGCTTTATACAAGTTACAATTAGATTTTTATTCAATTTTGAAATTGTGCATTTGTGTGGGGAAAAATAGAATTAAAATGTGGTACAATCTCGTATATGTAATTTCTTGTTAATTTTATGTGTAAATACTCTTTTTTTTAATACATGAACCTGTAGATATCGCTTAGTTTTATTTACGTGTCTTTTGCCCGCGACTTCGTCTATGCAGAATTTAAAAAGAGCAAATAATATTACATGATTTACTCGATATTATGTTCCATATCTGTGCCTTTCAATAAGATTTGTTGAACTGTTGCTGAGTTTTCGAGTAAATATGTGATTTTAATATATCCCACTGGAACCGCACACATTTTCGGGATCATAGGTATCCTATGTATTCTTCCAGACTGTGTTCTAAGATCTGTGATACTTCCTAACAAACATCCATACTGAGATATTATTTTGCGTTAACTGCTTATTATTTATAATATTTGGGTTTGGTTTGGAACAAGTGATCTTCGCAAGGGATTGCATTTCCAAATCAAAAACTTTGCGAACCATTTTGGTTTGCGTTTTCATAAACATTTCTCCTCTCATTATCCAGACATGTCAGAACTGTCACTGTCATAGCACAGTGGTCAAGAATTTTTAGGTTATGTTTTTATTATTACGAACTTATTAATTTTTGTATATTTTAATATAATAAGGAAAAATGTTACACTCTTTTAATAGATTACAGTACCGTGCTTTGAAATTGTTTTTAAGACCGTGCGATTACAAAATTATTAAACAAGCAATACATAATGTAGGTTTAAATGACATTCCCAAAGTAACTGCAACAGATATTAAAAAGTTAATAAGGCAAAAAGGACTCGCTGTACAAGATGGGTACACATCTTTTACTACGAAGTGTACAATATGTTCTGGAAATGAAAAAAGCAGTGAAAATAAAGTATATATCAATAAAACTACCGGTACGTAGTTTATGTAAACATAACCCATATTCGAAGTTTACATAAAATGAAGACTTGAATACCACGCGAAAAATAAAATCTATTTGGTGTAATAAGTTATTGAAGTGAATTGCATAATTATTTTTTAGGATACTTTACATGTCCAAAGTGCAACATTCATGGGGACTGGAATATCTTGGAGAGAATTATAAAGAAAGTGAAAATGGAAGCATCAATAAAAGATTATATACAAAAAATACAGCAAGACAATCAGGAATTTGAGAAAGACTGGCAAAATATTCTAGATAAAACTACCTCATTATCCAAAACCACTGAAAAGGAAGCTTTAGAAATATTTAGGCTATTTGAATTTCCTGTGAGTAGATAATAAATTAACCTACAGTTAGCCTATAACTGTGCATAATATTTAAAACTTTATATAAGTCATACAACTATATTATGCCTAGATACATGTAATATATTTTTACCATAAATTTCTAAGTTTTAAGCAAAACAAAATTTTAATTTCAGTACCATCCTGAATCTTGCAAAGTATTATCAGATGTAAGAATTTCTACGGAACACAACATATTGTATTTCCCTTTAAAAAATGCCAGTGACAAAGTTATAGGGTATCGTAAAATAGAGGCAGGCAGAGAGGAGGAAGCTGAAAATCACGGACACCACACCGCCGGCCTGTTCTGGTGTAAAGCTCACAAAGTGGGGCATAATGCACAAGCTGTTTTAGTTCCTAGTATACATGATGTGTTGCATTTAGCTGCACATAAAATACCTGGTAAGTATTAATCATTTTCGTTTCCAAAATATGTACTGTACACTTATCTCTTAGCTCCTATGTTTTTTTATATGCATAATATGTATGACATGTGTGGCAATAATTTCTATTTCTAAAAAGGAAGGGTATGTGAATTTGGGGGGAATGGAAATTATCTATAAAATTCAGTATTTATCATATATAGGGGCTCAATTTGCCATTTCAATGATATAAGGTGACTTTATTTGCCACCCTATATAAAAAGTTACTGCTATAGTGTCATGTTTGAACTTTTAGGTTCACTTGTATGGCTGAATAATTGTAATTTACCACCTGTTGTGCTACCAACATTAGAGGGATATCAAAAACTTTGTCTATGGGGCGATTGGGATAACATGCGTGCTGTAGCCGAAAAACTTGGTGAAGAAAGATGTCGATTTGTGAGGTAAAAATATATTTTGCATTCTTCATCTTTTATATATAAAATTTTCGAGTCACAATGTTAGCTACCATACTCCTCCAAAATGGCTTGACCAATTATTATGAAATGAATCGGCTTTTATCTATTTTTTAATCCTGCACAGACGGTGTCGCGGGTGACAGCTAGTCTATCATATAATTTTTCATTAAATAACTTTTATGTTAGACCTACAGATGGTTTAGTGACTGCTTCGGAGACAGCTGCTGCTAATTTATCACTAAAGGCTTTGGTGTCAGAAGCGAAACCGGCAGCACATAGATCTATAACAACATTTTCTGCACTAAGAGATGATGTTTATGCAGAACTTACAAACATTGATAAGGTTAGTTAAGAAAGTAAACTGTCAATAATATAAAATAAACAATGTCAACTTTTTAGAAGGGAAAATAATTAGTGTTTGATACTGTTGACTTCCAAAGGAAGCACTACATATCTCTAGTATAATATACTTTATCCCACCATCATTTGTGTAATATTCTAAAATACCCTTTATATATCAATGTCTTACTTGGATTATTCCTTACTATAAATAAAACATTTTTCTTACTTTATGTAAGATCAGGTGCGAGGTGTAAAATGGCGCCGCTTTCCCGCCCTCACACGGCTGTTGGGCGGACACCGGCGCGGCGAGCTGACGGTGCTGACAGGCCCCACCGGCTGCGGCAAGACCACACTCTGTGCGGAGATGTCCCTCGATTTAGCACAACAAGGGGTAAGCATAATACAAAAAAAAATTATTGCATCAAGTACTAGCTTGAACTGTTAACTTTTTTTGGATAAGGCTGTAAGATTTAGGATTAACCGGACAGGAATTCTATTGGTTTTTTGCTATTGTTTTAAAATTTTAAATTGATATATTCTATTTAGAAGAATAAATAGTAGTATTAAATGTATATGGTCTTATAATCTTGCAGGTTAACACGTTATGGGGAAGTTTTGAGATCCGCAACTCCCGGCTGGCGCGCACGATGCTGCAGCAGTTCGCGGGCGTACCGCTCGAGCACAACTTGCACGACTTCCACAAATACGCTGACGACTTCCAGAAGCTTCCCATTTACTATCTAGCATTCCATGGACAACAACCGATTAAAGTTGTTATGGAGGTAATTAACGAAAGCTATAAGTAGCTACATAGACCTTTACTACTAAGCTAAGCTTCCCCATTTTCACAATGTATATCGTTCTAATTGTCATATTAAAATAGTCAAATGTATGTATTTGTTCAATATTTACATAACAAGGCGGTAGAACACGCGCGGTATATGCACGACATCGCACACGTGGTGGTGGACAACGTGCAGTTCATGCTGGGCGTGGCCGAGGATCGCGACGGAGACCGCTACCTGCGCCAGGACGCCGTCGTCGCCGCCTTCCGCACCTTCGCTACCGCGCGACACTGCCACGTCACACTCGTCATGCATCCCAGGAAGGTACATCTACATAATGACATCACTTGCTCCGGTCAAGGTCACTAGGATTCTTTCGTATGCAGTGAACTTAACAGTCAAGCTTGTGGCACTGAAAGTGTTAACAGAATACCAACGGAAAAAAATGGTGTTGTATAGTTTCTTATTCATGTTATCTGTCATTTTTTTATCAATATTTTTTAGGAACGAGAATCAGAAGATCTTTCCACAAGTTCAATATTCGGCAGCGCGAAAGCATCACAAGAGGCAGATAATGTTCTAATAATTCAGGTAAATAAAAAAATAAATTTGATTTCCTGTATACTTAATAATTAATTATATATTTTTCTACACAGGACAAACGTTTAACGGCTGTACGCGGAAAAAAATATTTACAAGTCGCTAAGAATAGGTACAGCGGAGACTTGGGAATTGTTCCATTAGACTTTGAGAAGGATTCCCTTAGTTATCAATCGAAGAAAAAGAAAACAAAACAGGATGACCCTGACAAATTACTGGATCAATGTTTCGAAGAGTACTCAATCGAGGACCAAGACGCTAGTAACCCAACCTTAAAGAAAAACATGCAAAGTGCCAAGTTACGAAATAATAAAGAAAATGCCACTTCATATCTTAGTGATATTTTAAATTCAAACAGAACTAGGTGAAGGTATTTTGATATAGTTGTTTGTTTTTTATGTATATTTGTACATAACGATTAATATAAACTGTACGCCTCATAATTACATCAGGAAACTCTATTTTGCTAAAGTAACAAAACCATAATAAATAAATATTGATAAATTGTGGTCACATACAGCAAAATAGCATTGATTCACTTTCAAAATACATTTACAGATAATGTAGACCTATATTTAGGGTAATCTTATTTCGCCTTTCAGTATTATAACTCTTATTTGCTTATAATTAACACATAAATTCTATCTTAATAGATTTTTCAAAGTTAAATAAAACAATGATGTTTTTATATTTCACAAAGTGAATATTATTTTTAGTTAAACATTTAACCCCAGTCATTATATTGTGTGATACATATGAAATACATATACATATGTACAAATCATTATAAATTACAAGCCAATATGTATGTTATTTACTAATACATTGCAGATTTAGTCATAAATAATTTTATAATAAATAATATTGCAAGTACAATTTAGTAATCTTTTTTAGATATAAGCAATGTTAAAAATGACTATATAACTTATTCTATATACATTTCTCATTTTATATAATGTTTTAAACATTTACATTAACTTTAAACATGATATTAATATCAACTACAGATTAGCAGCATACTATTTAATAAAGTGAACAGGATCTACCAAAGCTTCATTTGTACGTTCCTGTTTCCTCTTGCACTTGGGGCAAGGTGTGTTTGGATTCAGACATTTGGCATGAAATACACTAGAACACTCATCACATCTGTATGTTGTGCTTGTTTCAAATGGGTACAATATTTTTGGATCTCTGCACACCTCACATATAAAACCTTTCTGACTGCAGAGCCAACAATCAAGTACATGTGATCTGGCAAAACTAACAACTTTTTCAAGCTGCAATACTAAGGAACCATTAGGTATCTGAGCGAGATCAGATATTGTGTACAAGTGGACATGGTCATACAAATATTCTCTCGGCCAAACTTTCTTTTGTAGCTCCTCAATTACAGGCTCACGGCAGGTGAATATATAACTTCTCAAAAAATTTAGTTGTATCCTCAAATCATGAAGATGTGCCATGTCTGATACACCTGAGTATATTTTTGGATTTAATTTCTTCATGTTTATCCATGGATTATGTTGAAATTCCAATAAGAATAGAGCTGACCTCTTGGAAACTGGATATCTCTTAAAGTCCCAATTGTGTATAACTCGTGCCGGAATTATAAAAACATTTGGATCCATACAATTGGAGCAGTAATATTCTCCAGTGTAAGCACAAACTTTTGCTTTAGAAACTATACTGCCTAACAAATCTTGGCAGCCTTTGCACTGATAGTTTTGATGATCAAGACCTTTCTCCCTAGAAAGTGATCCAAGTTGTTGTACTAATTTGTGCAACTCTTGCACTGTGAATGATCCAGTTGAAGTGTTTGGTACAATTTCAAAATCTAAGCCGTGCATGGCTAGATCTTCAGGTGTGGCAGTTTCAACTGTTAGGTCACAAATATCACTGTCCTCGCTTGTTAATTTTAATTCCTTATGAATGTCTTTCATGATGTCCCTCAAATTTGGTGTATTTACTTGTGTATCTCCAAAGTTACTAGATTGGTCTACCAGTGATGACAGACTCTTTAATTCTGGAGTTTTAATAAGACTGCTGCCATGTGATGAGTTTGAATTAACAGATGTGTTCAATTCATCTTTGCTGTCTGCTGACCATCCCTTACCACACAGAGAGTTGCCAGTGACAAGGACATCCAAGGTGTTTACAAAATCTGCTGACTCAACAGATGATGGAAATTCTTGTTCTTGACTAGTAGTTGGTTGTTCAATGTCTACAGAGTGTGATGCAACATGTTCTTTTGGTGAATCTTCTTTTTCCTTTTCCACATTCTGTTTTAGGTCTTCTGATTTCCCAGTTTGACTAGTAACATCAAGGGAATCCTTAGATAGTATAAAATTTAAGGCTTCATCTTCATTTAATGCCCACATCTTACCAAACTCTGTGAGGTGAGGACTGTGTGTTGGAGTTGATGATAGTTTTGTTTTAGTTTCATCAGAAAGTGTACTAGCCACATCAAGCCCAGCACTAATTGGGGCAGCTCTCATTGTTGGTACCCATATTCCAGCTTGCATCAAAACTTGTTCCGGCCATTGGTTTAACAAACTTGAATTTGTAGGCAAATTAAATTGTACACATGATTCCAGGCCTTGAACAAGCTTCTGAGCCACCTCTAAAATCTCTGCATCACACACAAATGCTGCTCGGTTATAAAATGGTTTAACAGCTGAAATATTCTTTAGTAGAGTAGCCATGTACGATGATAACAAACATTCATTAAGGGCAATCCGTAACCATGCTCTACACTGCCCTATTTCTGTGTTTATTTGTGGAAGTGAAGATATCTGATCAATATTCTGGCGATGTGATAAGATAAGTACAAGCGGCCAGAAACTAGATTGCGGCCGATAGTCCGGATCACTGGATATCACATTTTTGGCTTTTCTTAAAAATGTGTCTTTCAAACCGTGAAGGAATACGGCTTCCAAGGCCATACACAGCGTATTTGTTGAGTCCGACGATCCAAGAACACTATGAAAGTTATCATCAAATTGGCTATTGTATTGTATATCTTTGACACAGTCCGACAAATTGTTTACTAATGATTCTTTGAGAATAGTATCACGACTGTGTTTGTTAAAACTAGATGCTACACTCTTGAAAAAAGACATTTTCCTTATTTATTAACAAGTTACATTACTGAAAACGATAACGTGTATTTTTGTTTATCGCTACATTCGCAATAAAACTCACATCACGCATTTAATTTTATTCAAAACAAAACAATTTGCGAAATGCAAATGGTAAACACAATCAAAATAACAAATGTCATAAATGCTGCCAGCTTCCTAATTGCATTCGCATTTTTGTTCAAAGAGTAAATAGACGTTAAATGGTAAAAATCTCTGTTAAAAGCCGTTTCTCTACACTACAGTCACAACTCAAAATTGGTTGTCTGTTGATGTTTTTTTTTGTTGACATTAAATTTTTATTTGAATAAAAACTGCTGACAGCTGTCAAATGAAATAAGTGTTTACGTTTACGGTATTTTCTGCCGTATTTATTTTTTTTTTATTCGCCTGTTTTAGTAAACATTTTGTTCTTGGATAGTATTACTGACAAGATATGAACAACTATGAGTGGATGAAATCCACGTCAGTTTTCGGAGGTTTCTCTTATTGACAACGAAATGTTAATAATTTATTTTTTCATTTTATTATCATGCGCATCTCAAATTTCAACTTCGATTGATAACTACAATAAAGTTGAAAGGCATGGTCAAGGTACATTTTTCAATTAAATAATGTATTTCATACAACCTGGATACAAATTAAAATCACTTATATTGGTTTTAAATAACTTATTATGTATTTATCTCCTTCTATAACAATTGCAATCTTTGTTATCAATATTTTCAAAACGGTTCTTATACTATATACTTATTTCTAATAATACCTAGAAAAATAATAAACTGGCTTAACAAACACCATTGCCTGACTAATAAAAAATATGATTGATTTTTCTTCTGATTGAACTGGAAATGTTTTAGAGTTACTACTTTGTCGAAAATGTGGCGCCGACGTTGCAGATTCACATTACATTTTCTCTAAAATCAGTCCTGGGTCTCGTAATACTGAAAAGCAAAACTTATTTGGAAGGCACAATATAACTGTGCAAACATTAGTTAACCCATTTGGAGTCAAATTTGAAATTATAACAATGGAAAAGGCAAGATGTCAAAATATAGGACCAGTAAGTAATAATATTTTAACTATAAAGTTTACAAACAACCTTATAAGTACTTGGTTAACTAATAGGGAGTGACATTGTCCAGATTAACATCCTCCATAAGCAAGAACCTCAGGTGTGGTTATCTAGGTTTGACTGTATTTTGTTTCTGCAATGTAATTAATTTTAAAGGTATTTGGATCACTCCAAATTTGCTACTGGTCCTTAGTAACCAATAATTTCTGACATTTGTTTTAGATGGTTAAATAATTTATTTAAAAATTTTAATTAAAAATTACATTTTTGTTGTAGAATCAAGGTGCAGATTCTTGGTTTCCAGGATACACATGGAGAATTTGCACATGCCCACACTGTGGTCAACACTTAGGCTGGACATTTGAAAGAAATGATAAAGACAGTCCACATGACCATGCTTATTTCCATGGAATAATTTTAAGCAATATACTGGGAGAAAATTGTAAGTTTTTATGCAAATTTTGTATCTCAATGCTTTGTTTAAAAATATTTAAATGCAACTATGTTTTTGTCAAATCAGACTTTGTTATTTCAAGTGCATTAATGCATGTTTTGAACATTTAATTTTCTATACTTTAAAGTTGTGTAAAGTGTTTTTGCATTTTAATTTAATATATTTTTATAGTTACAGATTCACTCATCATGATGCCAAAAATGTACAGGATGTAGACATCCTTTTGCAGAGATTTTCATACTTTAAAAATTTTACAAATGACATGTTAAGCAATAAGATTAAAGAATGAATATATTTTATACATAGTATGAAAAATAAAAAATGTTTTCGTGTTTTTGGATAACTATTTATTTTACAATGAGTAAATTATCCTTAATAACCTTACATCTAAATACAAATTGTCAACAAGTTAATCAAATCATGTTTAGTCAATATCTAGAGAATGTTTAAAATTTATTGAAAAAACATGACCAATTTTTTAAGGTAAAGAAATTAAATGTAGTTAGAGAACTCTAAACCTTAATCCAATCCAATCTTCTCGTTATATTCATTATGCTAATTAATAGTGAAAAAAAAGTAATATTTTGGATATTTTTTTTACAACTTTTAAAAGAAATTTTAAATTATAAGTTTTTTTATTCATCATTTATCTAACTGTAATACAATATAGTGCTATAAATGGGGACCAATGTATAAGTGGATAGCCTAAATACTAAATACATACTAGTTCAAGTTAATCTTCAAACACACACAAAACTGGAGATTATATTATGTCAAAGCTGTATTTATTTTGTTATTTGCTTCTGTTCTATTATTAAATAGTGTAATTTATAGCAAGTCATTTATTAATTTTAGCCAAACTAAATTAGGCGCTAGCAAACCTCTGATGCAAGGTTTGTGCAGTAGCTGCTGGTGTGGGGGTAAAATTAACCCCAATTGGGACCTCACTTTCACTTGAATTGGTTCCCAAACTTTTTCCCTGTATAGCAGCAATTTCTTTTTGTAATTTAGGATTGAGAATCTGTTTATTCACAAATTTACGACCAACCCCACGGTTAACCCCTCTACCCCTTCCACGGCCTCGCCCTCGACCGCGTGACCTGTTACTAGTATTGGATTGGTTGGATCGACTAGATCTGTTTGATCTATTGGAACCCATTGATTTTACACTACCTGGCCCGCGTCGAGTTCTATACCCGCCAAACTGATTATTAAGTTGTGCTAGGCTTTGCGAATTTAAATAATTACCATTTCCTACACTATTTCTGCGTCTTTTTGCAAAATCATTTGCTACACTCACTGTAAGCTGTGAGGGTGAATTGAAGGAGTTACGTCTAGACCTTGTAAATGTCTGTGATTTTATGATTGAATTATTCAACATAAGATTTTGTCTTTGCTCTTTAATAATCTGGTCAGAACGTAGTCCCACATTGCTGTATTTATTTCTTGTAGCAAATCCTTGACCCCGCTTTGCAATACCCCTTTTAGCAACAGCAAGTGGTCGATAAGTGTTATTAGCACCGCCCCTGCGAGTTGTAATTCCAAGCCGACTATGGATTCCATTTTGTGTTCGAGAATTCGAATTACTCCGTAGAAGTCTGGTTTGAATACCTCCTGAAACAATTTCATAAAATTTCACTGTGTCCTTTAATCATAGAGATCAAGAAAAAAACATTGACAGGATGTAATTAACAGTTGGATCATTTTGGACAAAAAATGGGCCTTGTTTTACCTTATATAAAAGTATACAAGAAAAATTGACCTATGATTAGTTGAAAATGCAATATGATTGGAGCTTTAGACTTTTTACTTTTTGTCTTGTTGAAACACATACTTGGTTAGGATAGTAGTCTACAAAATTCTACCATACCTCTCCCTCTGCCTCGAAAATTATTTCTTCTCACTAGCTGAGGCATATCATTTTGTTCTTCAAGGCCAGCTCTTCCTTTTGGAGTTAAACCTCTTATACCTGATCGCGATCTGGACGCTGATCTTGCCCGTGAAGATGAACGTCGCTGTTGGCGCGACCGAGAACGATTCCTTGACTGCGAACGACCGCCAGATTGTGAACGGCCACGAGATTGTGAACGACCGCGCGACTGTGACCGGCCACCGCTGCGGCCTTGGCGTGTACCAGGAGTACCAGGCCGCGCTGGTCCGCCTCCGCGACCTCTGCGACCACCGCCGCCTCGACCACGTATGGTTCCTCCGCCTCTTCCTCGGGATTTATTTGTGCGGTTTTGTTTTATTATGTCATCTAAAAAGATTTTGTAACTTTGATAAAAATATCACTAGAATCAAATACTAATTATGACTTGATCTTAAAACAACATTTATTAGAAACTTGTTGGAAAATATTTGTATAAAATTTACGTACCCAATGACATATTTACTGAATCAGTCATGGTGTCACAATTATTTTTATCCACGCCAAATAATTCACTTCGGGTCTTTTTTATTAGTATTATACTAAAGCGCAAGCATAAAATCGTTGTTCTAACGATCAAACTTTATCATAAACTTACAAAAATAGAGAAAATAGGTAAAATAAATGTGCTTCTATAAACATTGAATGGAGGTAATTTCCAAAGAGTATATAAGTTGCCAGATGTGAAGTGCATGCTTATCTATGCAAGTATCACATTAAAGAGAAAATAAAAAAATCTTTATTGAAAAATACTTTATTGTAACAGAAAAGCTTTGTATTTTGTTGTGAAGTTGTGAAAATAGAGTAAAAGAAAAACGTAACATGACAGCAACGGCACGAAAAGGATTTTGTAACACATTATTTGAAATTCACAGGAGGGCGCTAGTGGGCTTTCTAAATTTGACTTATACTCAAATAATAATCTTATCGGTCTATAAGTTGGTTTACCTAAGCCTCTAACCAACAGCAATAACAGCGCCTCTCTAAGAAAAACTTGTATTATATTAATATGTTCCACTCTACTCTTGTGTTCCATTACAAATGTTGTAAATATGAGTTTTTTGACATTGGCAATACAAGACACCATGTAAGAAAGTTAGGGTCCCTAAACCAGGCTTCTAGCTTGTAACAGAGGGATAAATAAAGGGCTAGTACAGGCAAACTCAAAACATATAGAAACTTAAATTTCTCTATTCTTGGCATTATTAAATAAGATTTGATATTAATTGACCACTACCCATAGCAATCACTAATCAATGAATTGTGGATATGTTCCTTAATTAAACAGATACTATTTGTCCTATATGAACAGAGCAAAGGTTATTTTCTTTCCAATCTACCTTGTCTCTCATTATACGTTTGTATTTTAATCTTATTATAAAAAGATGTTAAAAAGTAAAACCATACTTTTGATAATTATTTGTATTTAATACAAATCATATGGTAAAATACCCTTACAATTGTTACTATAACACAAACATGGTTTTCTACCATGCACATTGACTTCAATATTTAGATCATTGCAAGTTTTTGATCCATAGTCTATTGTTATTTCATGTTCAGCGGAAATTTCAGTAAGACTGAAGATGGCAAGTTTTGGTAATGGAGTATTGACTCTGATAGGTACGATGAAACAATTTGGTTCACAACTATGATTAATATATCGTCCAATATTACCAAAACTGGATGGATCAACAAAAGTCTGCGTTACTTTATTATTGGAATATTCATTTAAACAAAATATAAAGTTCATTTTCATGTTATTGACATTTATTTGGTGCCTTTTAAGGGCTTGTGATTTTGTTATAATTTCTCCTGCATACTCACATATGTAGGAGCCTTTATCTATAAGGTGTTTAGTGAACAAGCCCATGCCCTTCTCTTTAACATAACAGGGTTTTACAAACAAGCCTTCTAGAGGGCCTTCTTGTACTAACTTATTTCCACAGTATCTGATACATGAACATAAATCATTACACTCAAATATTGATTTATCACTTTTCTTGTTATCAATAATTTTGTAAGATTTCAAGTTATTAATATCTGAAAAGTTATAATTCTTTCCCCTAGAGTTATGTATACAAAAGCAACTTTCATTTATGCAACTTCCTATACATTCACACTTATATGAAAGTTGTGAGTTGTAGTTGTTAAACAGTTCTTCATATTCTTCATTGTCTTCTGCTGGCCCTGGTATATTTTCAACAACATATATTAGGTCAGGACTAGTGTGATCATAATGATCGTTCATGTTTTTTTGTCTGTATTGAAGAGCAGAAGACAGATAAATGTTTACTATTTCAGATATTTTATCAAAATCATGTAACTTAATCTATTAAACAAAACTATAAACGTAAAAACATTAATATTTCGCGTTTTCAAAACAAATCGAAATATCTATCAACGTCAAACATCTCAGACTCGGAAAGGGGGGGCTGAGGTAATGATTATCATAGAGCTTCCCTCTATATTTTTTGGTTTTACTGAATAGGGAAATGTCTTTATGGACGGGCTTTAAAATTATGTGCGTATTTATGTAATTGATTTCAATAACTGTAACTGATGCTTTTAATATAATAAAGCAGGAAATGTCTTTCCCAAGTCACTTCTTATCCATGAATATAAAGATCAGCTTGGAAAGGGAAAAGCATAAAGAAGGAAACATTCTCTATGAAACTCCCTACTTTAAAAAGATCATGAATTTCAATTTTTATGCTAAACGAAATAAATTTTGTGCTTAATCATGTTAAGATATAATTTACTGCGTTCTTAAATCAATATTGAATCAAAATCATTAATAATAGACATGCAATGGGCTAATTGTTTCTCCTGCCATCTATTTCTCGCTCTATAAACTACTGGTCTCATGTCATGTCACCCAACAAAGATGAAATAGGCTCGTTTAGCTGAAGTAGGTATAGGACAGTTGTCTGTGCGCGAATGTGCGGCCGCGCAAGCGCAATGTCGTGACGTGACGTAATTGTCCATTCATACTTTTTGTTCATTCATTTAGACAAAATATCTTATTGACGAAGTGTTGTGATAATCAAGATACTATATGAGACATAAAACTACATTAACTTGTGTTTTTACTGATTCAATTTATAAGAGTGAAGTGAAATTTGTGTATTGAATTGTCAAAAAGTGCATTCATTGATGAATTAAGTGCATGTATCAAGCACATGCGCAATGCAAGGATGAATTCTTTCGATTTCAATTACACTGGAAATCGTCTTATATATTTGAAGTTCTAAATCGAAACGTACGTTTTCACATGTTCGGGTTTTAACTGTCCAGTTAACTCTAACTTGTTGAAAACAGGCTCAAGTAGAACATTACGACACTCCGGAAGTGGCGGGACAAGCCGGCCGAGGGGCTCGTTCCGAAAGAGATAACAGCGGATGAAAGAGATAAACAGTTATGGATTTAACATGGCGGACGAAACGCGTAAAGTGCGAGTTGAAGAAAGATTAAAAATAAAGATCGGTAAGTAATATTCACGATTATTTTCTATTTTGTGAATGAATTTTAGAAATATTGTTTTCATAGAGCAATAAGTTAAAATGTGTTTACGTCTAGCACTGATCGCTGACTGTTGTTGTCATAGTTGTGAACAGGTGGTGTCCAAATAGTGTAGGTTTCTAAGTTTTATTTAAATTCTCTCAATATTACATACCTATAATTAGCAAACAATAAGTTTGCGTTAAGTGTCCTTTTAAAAAAACTCATTGGTACCATATTTAGGAGGACCTACTCCTTTTGTTTTTGCCGTGAGGTGGTTTGACAGTTCGCTCACACTTTATGAATGAATCGCCGTGAACACAATGAACCCGTGTTTAGATCATATTAGATTAGATATTTGTTGCATGTACACTATTGTATAATTATTAAACGGATAGCATCATACTATCATTTTCTTATATGAACTAAATAAGAGTGCCTAGCATAAGATCTTCAATTTAACAAAAGTTCTTAATTTGTTTTTAAAGTTGCACACATTTATGTATAGAAAATATATTTCAATTATTACTACAAGTACTGTTAGATATCTATAAAGTTGATATCTCACAATTTACTCTGATTTCTAGTGAAAAGTTATTATTGGCTTTATTTATCTTTTGAATATTGGATTTTTTAATTAATTTTTTAAGCATTACATAAAGAATAATGTTGATAGTGATTTAAAGTATATTTATCCTTGTTAGTCAAGTTAATAGTCCTACATCTTACCAATATAAGTTTCAATATGTATAAATAATTTTTTTATGTATAATATGGAGTTTCAGACTCTCACTCTGAAATATGTATTAGATCAATAAAATTCAATAGTAATAAAGAATGAAATTTTAAATGAATTAGTTGTAAATAATCATGAAGTACAAAAGTACAGGAAATAAACATCTACATTTTTTTTAATATTATGAGATCTTTGGAAGTCCTCACAAAATCATGTTGTACACAAGACAGGGTGTGTTATGTATTAAAAATGTCTTTCAAGTAGTTCACTTTCATTCCAAAAGATGGGGAATCACGGAATATGTTAAAATGCTTGGCAAAGAACTTAATGTAGAAATAATCTTATAAATCTTTCATAAAATAAGTTTAATTTAATTTTACTGATTAAACTAGATACCTATATCTTTTTTAGCTTCCCATCTAGTGTTTTAAATTACACTTAATTTTTATCTAGCCGCACATGCTCTCTACTGAAAAAAATTTCATTACTATTGCATTTACAACATTTGAGATGTTATTTGACTCAATTTTATTGGTGACCATGATGAAAAAATAGTCTAATCATATTTAAAAAACTGTAAAAATATATAAAACTAGCTGTCACACATAACTCCATCCGAGTAGTATTAAAAAAAACTGAATTAGTTCTACATCTATGCCAGTTCTGGGGATACCTTTAAGCAAACATTGATCCAAAAATTCACATTTATATTTGCATAATATTTGTAAGATAAACTTCTATTTAAATAAAATAAGTTTAAGATCTAAACAGACGGAAACAGAGTTTACTTTTAATTATTAATATGATTTATATCAAACAGTTGAGTTTTGCATCACTTATAATTTGTATAAAATACAATGTTAGTCACATGAAGTTGTAAGTTGAAGAGATAGGTACATTCATGATTGATTTGTGTGGGTGTCAGAGCGAGTGCATAAATCTATGATAAGGAGAAGTGTGTCTGCTAAGATAAGAATGCAGTACGCCTTCCGGGGCATGACCCGTGACCCGATGTTCTCTGCCAACTCTGCTATCACATACAATGAACCCAGTTGTAGTTGACCCTATACAAACCCTAATTTAGATGTTGGGCCTATGTAATCAGTGGAATGTATTCCATTTGTATGTATTTTCATATATTATTGTTTTAATTAAGAAAATTATTTAGCTAATAACCTTCATTTGACGAATGCATGACAAACTTGATGGATTGACTTTAATATTTTTTTAATCTTAATATAAAACTAAGTGTTACTTTAACTACATTATTAAAAATTACATTCAAGTATTGTAATCCTGAGAATAAAGTTTTATTTGTCACTACTAAAGTTTACTACAGAGGGACCAAATTGTATCGTCAATCGCATATTAGGCTGTACGACGCTGCGGCCGATAAATGAAAGCAATGCATATGGTAACTTCCGCCGTGCCCGCGCCTTATCTACACCACACCTTTGTTCTTACCACCAATTAGTCAACTCATCCAAACATGCTGTTGTTAGTTGCATATTGTGTCTACACCGATGAAGCGACTGTATAAAACTAATTCTAAACCTGCACATTCTCTTTTAAAACAATTTTTTTTGAGTGTCATGTCTGTCATATATCATAAGTTGTTGGTAATTCACAGTTTTATTTGTTTTTGATTTGGTTGAACTATTTTTAATTTATAGTTGTAAGGTTGGTCAAATTTTTCTATCCCCAAGTTACTGACGGGATTGCCTTAAACTACAAGCTTGTAGTTTATCACAAAGAAGGTAAAAATAGTCTCATCTGTAAGTAATTATAATTTTAATTATTACATAAATATCTTACAAATTATATAAACAAAATCTCTTCCAATATATTATGTTAGTAGCAGTCTAACTAAATGATTAAAATTTCATTATTGGGTTTATTACTTTTATCAAGTTTGACAAATTACAAAAGTTGACCAGGCCAATCTTTTTCTATTTCAAGGAGGAGAGCAAATCAATTTTCTTTCACTATTAAAGATCAGATCTTAATACAATGTTTTCATTACTTTGGGCTGTTATGCCCAGAAACAAGTGCAAAAAAATATATATTTTTTTTTGTTATTTTTCGCGGCTTATAAAATGAATTTATAGATCATATTTGACTAACATAAATAATATAAATGCACTCGAATCGAGTTAAATTTACGTAACACTCGAAGCAACGTGTTAAAACGGTATGCCATACATTTAGGTATTAAGTAATTTGTTTATAAATACGATAAGCACGAGTGATACTCCACCGATAAGGTCCGACGCGCCACGCTAGCCCGCTCGTTACTTATATCACTTACCATTTCGTTTTGACATTTTTTGATGCTATTTAAATATAAAAAAAAAATTGTCTATGTCACAGCTTTTTTCCATTGCACTTTGAATGAGCTTTTTAATTTTACAGCTGCCGTCTTACGACCGGGATTACATGTAAATATATTATCTTAATTACCTATTTATTTTTAAGTTTCTTGTGCTTGCTATCTTTCTCGTTTTCCAGCCACATTTAAACATGGTGTAGATTTATTTTTAATCTTCAGCGATAGTTTGAATCCTAATGAGTTAGTTTAAAGTAGGGTCTAGTACCAAAGCCTTAGATTATATATTGCATTCAGAGTTATAAAGTCTCTTGGTACAAGTATTGCCGGAGACCTAATTTTATTTCTTCCCTCTTCCATGTGAGAAAAGAATTGGAAGAGGACGTGGATTTGATGGAGGAAGGAACTTATAGGAAGGGGAAGTGTTATCTTTCTGTGATTAAAGGTGGGCAACACAACTGAAATTGTGGATGTCTATGTGCCGCGATCACTTCGCTATTTTGACGAATTCACGTGGCCCGTTGCTCGTTTGCCGCCAGCTTATAATATAAAAAAGAAAGTGCAATACGGATAGTATGTTAGTAGAAATGTTTTAGAAGTAGCGTGTAGCACAGGAAATACGGCTTGTAATATTAGCAGCGCGTAGTGTCGCGGTGCGGTGCGGTGCGGTGGTGTTGTAAAGTCAATGAGCCACAGCGGCGAGCTGAGCGTGGCATTGACACTATCCGGTGCGCGCGGTCACCGCTACGTTCGTATAAATTGATATCTTGTAACGTTCTGCTTTCCTCTCGCCTTGCCTCGCCTTGGTTTTAGCTTGTTCATAGTTTTTATGTACGTGGAAAGGACACCTCTCCATATTTAAATTATTTTCCTACTAATCAAGCTGAAGATTTATATCTGCGTACATTGCAGTCATTTTATGAATGTTCACATCAATTTCGTCTTTTCATCCATGGATATATTTTACCTAAGTTCGTTTATCTCGTCTCGTTATTGATGGAGGGGAAACAATATTATAGCAATTTTATAAATTGTTGCAAGTTTTGTTCCGTTAAATTTTAAACAGGCATGTTTATTGCATATTATTTAATGGTATTTAAATTATCTACAAGCGTGATGATTATTATCAAAAAGAATGCAATTGTAAACAATAAAGTTATCATTCAAAGCAAAATACCTGTCATTTGTCCTTTTGTTTAGAACAAAGTGAATTCTTCATGTCGCATATATGAATATATTGACTTGGTTTAGAATTAACAAATATGTGACTCATTCGAATATATTTTTGTTCTAGTGATTACGTTAACGAGTAATTCTTGAATTGAGAATTAAATTGACGAATATTTTAAACATAATGAATGGAAATGGATCGTTTCCAAGTTGGTGACAGTTTTCTTTACATATATAGCGCATTTGCTCAGAGAATTTTGTTGATATCGAGTTCGAATAATGTAGTGATTTAAATTATTTAGTGGCCTTGTGATCGTTCGTATTTCTTTGACTTAACTTGTATCTATTATATATTGAACCTTAAGTGCCGCGAATTTTCAAGTTCAATTTCTTTTTAATTCATTAAATTTATCTTATATTTTGTTCAAAACGAACATTGTCTTTAGGTCGAGTAATATTTTATGTCACTGCGAGGGGGTGACAGACTGGGCTAGCCATCGGGTGGTGCGCGCGGCGCTGCGCGGTGGCCGCGGTTGACTCCCGTGAATGGGTCGGACGGGTGTTTTCCATTCAGAGCGCACCCATTCATGGAAACTCGGTTTGCCGTTAATGAAAAAGACGTTCATTTATCGCGAACGTTATCGGCACGATGTCAGCCTGTCTCGGCCGTCACGTGTGTTACGTATGCATATTTCCATTGAGAACATCCTAATCCGGCCGTCATCGACAATCGACGATAAGATAACATGCGAT